AGAAGACTACTTGGAACAGCACCAGACTATGTATGAATAAAAACTCAGAGAGGAATAGCATGGATGATATATTTATACATTTTGTACATCATTGTGAATAAGCAAGGAAAGCTATTAATAATGGTGCATTTTTTTTTTTTAAGTTTATTGGGTTTTTTTTATTTATATTCTGTTCAAATTTTCACACAATCTGTCAAAAAGGCAAAACTAACTTTACTGAAACTTTCAAACAATATGAGAAGTGTTTCATTCACCAAAACACTCTTGCGATTCTGCAAAAAAAAAAAATCATGCATGATTTTGTGAATGAAAGGGGAAAGAAGATCCTGACACAGCGCACCTGAGCATGTCAATTGTGAACTGACCCAATAATTTATATATCACGACCAGTCAACTGATACTGACATTATCAGAGCGTACACATCAAAGGAAAAATGCACAAATTACCGATAAATTGTTAAATATGATATCATAGAATTAAATATGTTTTATTACAAAAAAATGTGTTCTCAATCTTGTCGATAGATATAACAGAATGTCATATCAGTGCCAAAGACAACTCTCCATCCAAGTCACAATTTGTAAAAGTAAACCATTATAGGTTGAAGTACGGTCTTCAACATGAAGCCTTGGTTCACACCAAACAGCAAGTTATATAGTCCATATCAATCATGATAATAAACATAAACAAACAAAACAACTATCGCTTACTAATAATCCTGACTATATGTATTACATGAACTTGTTGCCATCAGAAATGAAAATATAAATATTCCAACTAACAAAAGCATATGCTTACACATGCAACCAAATATAAAGCACTTAATGATAATACCAATATGAAGGTCTCATCTATAGAACTTACAAAAAATGTCAAGATTACAAACCGCAACAAAATAATAAAAAATATAAGAAGCCAGCTGACAACATGTTCTAGAAAATTATTTGCAATTAATATTTCATTCCAAATCCATTACCACAAAACATCTTCTTACAGTTATACTACATCTGGAAATTAGTAATAACAACACTTAATCTGTACCTTCAAAATAATTGCTTTTTCTAAGACAACAGCCAGATGAGATATTCATCACTTGAAGTGCTCCAGCTAGAAATAGAAAGGGGCAGGGTGCCAGTGAAGGGCAGGGCACCTTTTTATGATAGGAAAAGGCACTTCTCATTTCTTTTGTCTACGTTTCTGTGTGTATCATGAGTTCACTTTTTTTTTACTGTATATGTTGTTAATAAAGATGCATAAGTTGTTGTTTTGATTATTTACTCTATAAAATTTGCATTAGAAAAGTCATTCATACTACATGTTCATAAAACATGGCAATACACATTCATACATCAGATCACTATTAACCAAAAGAAGCGAAATAAACTAACTATTCTCCCCCCCCCCCTTGGAAAAAGGCGTCAGGGAGGAGCGCAATTGAAGGCACCCAGGGAGCAGCGCCCTTCTAATTTAGGCTAAAGAGACCACTGTCTTCTATACATATAAGATGTAATATTCTCATATTCGAACGGCCGACTATAGTAGTCAGAGGCGGATTTAGAGAGTTTTTCAGGGGACATCCCCCCCTCCTTTTCGTGGGAAAACTTTGGTTGATCATATACATGTAGTGAATCACTGAAGCATGACTGGAGCTGCCCCCTCTTATGAAAATTTCTAGATCTGCCACTGGTAGTCCATTTTGTCTAGCAGTAATCCTCAAAAGTAAATAATACATTTTTCTTATCAACTTGATTATAACCTTGCTAACTATTACATAACTGTCAAGACACAGTATGCATGTTAAAACTACTTGCATTGTCATAAAGAGTAAACAATCATTTTCCACAAAACAAACAAAAAAGTATCGTTACTATAGCTATTACAAACCATATATATATATTATCATATGTGACTATCAAGCCTCCTTCAATGATAACCCTGATTCACCAATACTACAACTAAAATAAAAAACCAGGAGAAAAAAGACACTATATATTCTAATGCTTGGAGTGCAAGATTCCAATAAAACCCCTATACCCACAAACCACCGATCTCAATACATGTATAAGCAGCTAAAATACGGCAAGCTTTTTGGAAAAGCTATTACTTGTATATATAACAATCACAGTGACTTTATAAATTTCCGCAGTACTTCAAACCACAGGAGGTTATCTGCGGGAAAAATGCTAGATACAAATCATATACTACTCCATCAGAATAGAATATGTATAGTGAAGTTGTGTAAGTTAAAGAAAGTGAATTGGAAAAAAAATATAACTTGTATTTTTAATAACTACAGTGTCAGTGTGTCCGAAGAGTCGTTCGAATCTTACACATGGGAGACAAGCTACATTTTTTACACAGTATGATAGGCAGTCATTTCACATATCTGAAACTCATAACCGGGATTCCGAAAGGGGTAAAAAAACGAAAAAGTATTTTTCTTTCAAATATGGTCATAAAAAGGTAATTTTGTATGTCCTGTTTTTCTATAGAAATCTTGCTTTAATAACACCCCCCCACCCCACCCCCCAAAAAAAGAGCAACACAACAAAAACTTTACAAAAAACTCTAATTCACTCATATGTTTGCTTCAGACAATGCTACAGATATACATAGGAGATTGAGCACTTGGTAAAAACGGTGGCTTGTTGATTTGAATCCACGAAAAAAACCCAGAATATATGGTGTTTGATTTCCATTAGGATCTCTATATAGATATAGGAAGATGTGGTATGAGTGCCAATGAGACAACTCTCCATTCAAGTTACTAGCCTATTTATCTAAATTTTCATGGACATTCACAATACATAAAAAAACACAACCACAAACATTTTGATTTTCTAGCAGCTACCAGCAGAAAGTCCATATGGATAATATTTGCCAAAATGCCACTAAACCGATCTTTTTTCTCAGAAAATTAAGATATATTGTTAGCAGAAGCAATCTTAAAAAATATATCTTGCATACATACATCCATTTCTAAAATATGCATGCGAGCAATGAGATGGGTGCTGTTTAAGAAATTCTCAGAGCCAACCAGAATTGTTACTGATCTTCCACAATTTGCAAGCAAAGAATCATTATTATCTTTTTATACTTGATGGGAAATTTTAAATCATAGAAGAAATAGACGTAAACTATGTTTATTTCATAACATACATAATAATAATATTCTAGAATACATTATGGATTGTCTATTAGATTATGAAGATAACAATTATTATAATACTAGAAACCGTTCTCACTATATCGTAGCGAAATATCGATTGAAATATTCCCTTAATAATTTTTCCCTTCTTCAATTCGTGTAAGGAATTTATTGACGTTAGACTTTAGATCAATTCAGTTATCTCCAAATATTTCAAAAATAAAATCCGGATAAATAACTTTTTCTTTATTGTACCTTAATTCAACCTTACATTGGAAATGAGAGAGAAAACATATTGCACACAATATTACGACACAGATGTAGTTCCCTAAAAGCTGATTCATATATGATTTCGAAAATGCTCCTTTAGCTGCCAAAACTTATTTTTTATTTTAATACAAGATATCTTATAAGGAACAGATGTTGTAAATTGTATTCAATCCCACTACATGTATACATGTATACATAAGGAGATGAGACAACTCTCCACCAGAGACCAAATGACATAGAAATGAACAACTATAGGTCAACGTAGGCCTTCAACAATGAGCAAAACCCATACCGCATAGCCATTGTTTATTTCGACAATAAAATATGTTTGAACTAAACAAAGCTATAAAAGATGTCTGGAAGTAACAATGCAACCACAATGGTGTGTAATATCAGAGTTACGATTGATAAAAAACATAATTTTAACAATACACAAATTATAGTATTTGATCATTTATTACAGTTATATATTTAAGGAAGCAGGCATACCAATGTTTAAACAATGAAAATAAATAGAATTAAAACAATAATAAAAAAATAGAAATATTTAATGAACTAACATATTATATGAAACACTTCCGTAAAATTACCACATGCAAGGATTTGTATAGTAAGACTTACTACACAAATCCTTGCCATATGTTATATTTAAAATTTGATTAAAACTTTTTTTACGGAAACCATCAAGGCTTGCTTAGCCTATATGGAATATCTGTACCCCGTTCGTAATGTTTGATCGTTAATTGTAATGTTTCTTTGCTTTTATGTCGGGGTTATTGATTTACTGTTTCTGATTGCCATCTTCGTATCTTCAAACTGTAAAAATCTAAATCTTATTTGGACTTTTTCTTTAAACCTGGTACTAATAGTATACCTTTAATGAATTAAAAAAAAATGGCAATCATACCACATCAAGTCCCTGCCACTTTTATATTGTTAAATCAAACAGAAAAAAAAAGAAGAAGAAAAACTTGCGGAATGCTATTCTAATACAGGAGATTAAGTTGGCTTATATATCTGTATCTTCTCCTTTACTATTATGTATATGGCCTCCTGGTTCATTTCTGCCTTCTCTTTATTTCCGTATCAAATTGCGCGATATACTATTAAGCATTAAGATAATTACATATATAAATGCAAGGACCTTTCTAAACTGACTAAGAAAACGTTCTTCAATTAAAGTATCATATAAATATACTAGATTACTTATATCTACGTAACTTAGTCTCTCATTGGCAATCATACCACATCTTATTTTAATATAGATACTTAAACAATTACACTCAACCTTGAAAAATATAAATACCAAAATAATGATTCTACCTAAAATGAATTACATTGTATATCTTTAGCAACTTTATTCCTAAAAAAAAACTTATATCATACAAATGATGCTTCCTCGTCTATTCATAATACCTGCAATGACTGGCTTCAAAAAGAATCATGCACATATTGAAATTACACTAATTTAATTAGAAATATTGTATTGCAATATTATAAGTTAGTGTCTTGTTTAAATGTTATATGTCAAGGAAGTGTCTGCATGTTACATCTGATTATACGTCCACTTTATATATATACCCATGTTTTCTGTTTGAGATAGTAGGGTATATTATTCCAGTATTCAGGTAAGTCCATCATTAGATTAAACGGGATGAAAAGTCATATCAGTTTTTTTTTAATTTGGTTTTAATTCAAGAGGGTCTGCATGGGGTTTACAGAATAGAGAATAATGACAAAATAAAATAATGAATAGAGAAAAATTGGGTGCAAAGTATAACGAATAACTGTGGAAAATAAAATAATAAGGTAAAATTATACTGATTACAGAAATTAAGGATGTACAGAATATAGAAATTATCTAATTATAGAAAAGTTAAATTATAGAATCATTTTCTTGAGCATTATACAGAATGAAAATTATTTTTAAACATAAAGAAAAATGGCCTAAATATTTAAAGAATACAGAAATTATGGACCCCCAACAACACCCTCATTCAATACCCATAGATATTTTTTCGATGTTTTTAACATGATGACCAAACCAAGTAATAATATGATACCTATACCAAATAATAACGTTATAAATATGCCATGCAATATCACTAAGACAGAACAAAAAAAAAAAAAAAATTTTTCAATGATGTTATATTCCATGATGAATATACTGAATTGAAAAAATATTATTTCTTACAATGTGAAAAAATCCTGGTTTTTAGTAATTAGATATGAATCTTCGGAAAAATCGTAATTTAGTGAAAATTTAAACCTGCACCAAAAGCACCAATACTTTTTCACCTGCTTTGGGCTTTTTGATTGTTCGTCTTCACCCAAAACAATAGTATTTTCATTCAAACTTTTTTTTGCATTTTAGAATGAAATCCACACTTGCCATTGTCGCCGTCTTGGGTCTGTTCACTCTAAACTGTGTGAGAGCTGATGGTTATGGAAACGGAGGTGGGTACAAGATGGGTGGATTATCCGGATATGGTAAGGGAGGTTACCAGGGATATGGCGGAGATTACGGTTATGGAAACGTAGGTTACCAAGGATATGGCGGGGATTATGGATATGCAAAGGGAAGTCTCCATGGATATGGTTCTAAAGGATATTCCGGATATGGAAATAAGGGAGGTTACGTTGATACACACTACATTGCACAACCATACCCAATTTACGGAGGTGCCGTTGGTCCCATAGCTGGTGGAGTAGCCGGTGGAGTTTCTGGAGGATATATGGATGATGGTCTTTTCGGTGGAGATGGTCTTCTTGGAGGCAAAGGATTATGTGAGTCTAGATTAATAGTTGATAAAATTGCTTGGACACTTTAGAAAATATGCAAACATACGCATTTAGTAGAGTTTTATTTTGTAACTTTTAAATATTGATTTTTAAGGTAAAGTGAAAGAAAAATCAACATGAACTTTAAATATGACCGGAAATAAAAATAAAAAATGCAATGCGGTAAAATTCTTTCGTTCGAAAATAACATCTTATTCATAACTGTAATATTTTGTCTTGTTTCAAAAATAAACGACTTAAATATTGTATATGTGTTTTATATTTACAGTGTTACTCTTATTACTGTTTGTCCTTTTGAGAAACAACAACAACAGCGACTAAAGTTTTAGTGGTTAAAAAGTAAGTATTTTTTTTTTGGTTGGCGTCTCTGTCAAATTTATCATCATCTACAACAATTTTTTTTTGTTGACGTCTTTGTTAGATTGATTTGTAGGTTTGCTTGAATTTTATTTTAGTTGTGTTGTATGTCTGTGGTGTATGTTTACGCAATTTTGGCTGCTCGATCCCAATTATTGTCACATTAACCTATTATGTCTGTTTGGGTTGCTTACCCAATTTTGTCATTATAACTGAACCATAAACAACTGTCATACAAGTGGTAGGTTTAGCTAGCTATGAAACCAGGTTTAACCCATCATTTACCTCGGAAATGCCTGTACCAAGTCAGGAATATGACAGTTGGTTGTCGCTCGTTCCGTTGATTGATAACGTTTAATTTTGTCAGTTTTTATGAACCTCCCCTTTTTGCATTTACCTTGAAGTTTGGTAATTTTGTTTATCTTTTAATAATTGGAAATTTATCAGTTTTGAATACTAAAATTAATGTGTTTTATTTTATTACAGGGGATGGAAAAAATAATAAAGAAAACAAAGATTATTTATTTGCTTACATGTTCATTGTTTTACACGTTATTTGTTACTCAAAATAAAGATATATGTTTAAATATGTGTGTTTATATATATGTGTATTACTGTGCTGTTTACAATGAACAGATCAAGCACCAACAAAGTTGTTACTGTTTATAAAACTTTGAATTTTTCGAAATACTAAAAATTGTCTACCCCAGGAATAGATTACCTTAGCTGTATACGGGAAAAAACTTTCGGAACTTTGGGTCCTCAATGCTCTTCAACAGACTATTTTCATATTACCTGCTTTTGACTCCGGAGTTTTAATTTTTGTCGACAGGTTACATACTCTTTGATAGGACATCCTGATACTCGGTCAGGTAAGAGCAAGGTAAAGAAGTAAAATCAAGCTTTCAATCGGTACAATTTTGGGGGGATATTAACTGTTTTATGTTTTCTATACACCACAAAATAATCGGAAAACAGTAAACTTTCAACCGCAACTTGCACCGATTATGTGTTTGATTTTAATTCTTTTGATTGCTCTTACCTGACCGAATACAGGATGTCCAACCACAGATTAGGCAACCTGTCGAAAAATTATATAATTCGGAGCCAAAAGTCGGTAAGGTGTCAGACCACCAATTCAAAATCCCTATCTATTCAACCAAATTTTGCAATTTTCACAGCTTTCTTAATATTTTACCTTGAGTTTAACTTCATAGAAACCAGGTATATCCTGAATTGTACATGTATCACCTTTCTATACATGCCAATTTTCAACCCATGTTTAAAGACTTGTAAGAAAGAACTGCCTTTCGGAAGCCAAGTGGTACTAAAAATAACTCCTGGTTTTTTTGAAATCTTTAATTATTATACTATGGAGCGCATTAATCCTCAATTTTTTTTTAATGTCCTGCAAACTCATAGTCAAGTACATTTTGGCTCAAATGGTCTAAATATATTTCTCTTTCACCAAAAGTTTCATTTCTGCAAATTTGTTGGTTAGTTTAAGTAAACAATGACATCAAAAGCACTATTTTGTGTCAGAGTAGGGCTACTTTTACATACGTTCTAAATTGGAGGGAGTGAATTGGTGGTCTGACACCTAATATGAAAATAGTCTACCTCGTACTTTATTTGGGCCTTTTAAGAATTCTTTTATTCGTGCGTCACTGGTGAGTCATTTGTAGAAGAAACGCTCGTCTGGCGTACACAATTTTAATCCTGGTATCTGTGATGAGTGTATTTATTGATGATAGGACTTCCTGTTTATCAGGTCTTTAGTTGAAAGGTGGTTATTCCATCAATAAAGATTACCTTAAATTAACTGAATACACGACACTCTTACTGCTTAGATATGTGCAATCATATTTTTTTAGGTTTTCAGCTCAATAGACATCTGACCGAAGGTTTTCGCTTTCACTTGGCGTCCGATTAATCAGTGGGATATCTAGATTACAGTTCGTTAATTTTGTGCTACACTATCTACAAATATGGTCACTCTTATTAAATAGAAAACATGCATAAAACGCCGGTATTTAATTAAGATCTTCCAAACCATAATATATACAGCAAATCTGACAGGTCAAAATATACAGAATAAAGATCGACTCACTACATTTTTCTACTTAAAAATTATCAGACGACTTCTTATAGTGTGTGCTCTTAAATGACGATTTTTGTATGATAGCATTTTGACTTCTTTTCTAAAACTGTAGTGTAATGGATAGACAAACACAACATAAATAATCAGCGATACTAGATCTTAAAAAAAACCCCAATATAAATCAAACTAGAGGCTCTAAAGAGCCTGTGTCGTTCACCTAGGTCTATGTGCATCTTCAACAATGACCACCCTTCAACATTGTGGACTAGAATAGAATTCATGAAAAAAATATCTTTTTTGTTGAACTTATATTGCTGATCATTTTTTTCTGTTTAGGCAGTTTCTCTCTGTCTTCTTTATTTACTAACAAGTTCTTCTAAAAGTGACGTATTTGTAGATCTCGCCTTGCTGACAATTTTTCTATTTAAAGTGTCTATAAAATTGAGAATGGAAATGGGGAATGTGTCAAAGAGACAACAACCCGACCACAGAACAGACAACAGCAGAAGGCCACCAACAGGTCTTCAATGCAGCGAGAAATTCCCGCACCCGGAGGCGTCCTTCAGCTGGCCCCTAAACAAATATATATACTAGTTCAGTGATAATGAACGCCATACTAAACTCCAAATTGTACACAAGAAACTAAAATTAAAAATAATACAAGACTAACAAAGGCTAGAGGCTCCTGACTTGGGACAGGCGCAAAAATGCGGCGGGGTTAAACATGTTTATGAGATCTCAACCCTCCCCCTATACCTCTAGCCAATGTAGAAAAGTAAACGCATAACAATACGCACATTAAAATTCAGTTCAAGAGAAGTCCGAGTCTGATGTCAGAAGATGTAACCAAAGAAAATAAACAAAATGACATTAATACATAAATAACAACAGACTACTAGCAGTTAACTGACATGCCAGCTCCAGACTTCAATTAAACTGATTGAAAGATTATGTCTTCATCATATGAATATCAGGCACAATCCTTCCCGTTAGGGGTTTAGTATCATACCATCATAACATATATGAGAAGAACATAACCCGTGTCATGCCAACAACTGGTTTTTAAATAAATGTGTTTAGTGCCGATGCAAAGACCTTATAAGTGAATCAATATTAACGCCAAAATATGCAATCTTTAATGACCTGACAACAGTATCGTAACTATATCCCTTCTTAATAAGTCTATTTAAAGGTTTTGTTAGTTTCAGAGGTGAATACTGACATTTTTGTGCTTTATAAAGAATATTTCCATAAAAAATTGGATGTGAAATACCTGAACCTATAAGAAGTCTGCATGTTGAGCTATATTTACGAATGATGTCCTTATACCGATGATAAAATTTAGTAAATGTTTTGACTAGTTTGTGATATCGAAAACCCTGGTGTAATAATTTTTCAGTAATATCTATCTATCTTTTATAGTTTTCAAGATAATAGGCAAAAATGTATAATATTGGTAAAAACTGTCATTAAAGAGCAAGAACTCCAATAAGGAATCGACTGACGATTTCGGCCAGTAGACTTATGGGTAGATCTTGTCTTGGTGATAATTTTTGCTTAATTAAGTTTTATTATCTGTTATAGTTTTCTAGATATAAGGCAAAACACAAAAAATGGTAAAAATCTTCATTAAAGGGCAATAACTCCATTAAAGGGTCAACAGACGATTTCAACAATTAAACTTATTTGTAGATCTTGTCTTGCCGATCTTTTTTGCTAATTCAAGTTTCTATCCATTATAGTTTTTTCAGATATTAGGTAAACAGGCAAAAAATTGATAAAATTCTCCATTAAAGTGCATTAACTCCTATTAGATGCCATCTGACAGTTTTGATGTAAATAAACAGTAGGTAGATCTCATCATTCTGAACATTTCTGTCCCTGTCAGATTTTCTCTTTTTATAGCAGTTTTCAAGATAAAAGACAAAACTCGCAATTTACCCCTGTGTTCGGTTTTTAGCCATGTCGGCCATGTTGGTTTTTTCAAGCGAGGCCATCGGACACATTTTTTTAAAACTATATACCCTAGTGATGAATGTGGCTAAGGAGGACGACGGACGACGGACGCCAAGTGATGAGAAAAGCTCACTTGGCCCTATGGGTCAGGTGAGCCATGAAAGTAATATATTCAATATTACTTCCATGGGTGAGCTAATAAAATTGATGATACCTAAAAGTCTTTTACTAATTACAACCCTCAAATGAAGAAATTTTGACACATTTTAGGGGTTTTGCCTTCTATATTGAAAACTAATATAGATCGACAGATACTGTAAACAAAAATATAATCAGCAACACAAGATGTAAAATTTATGTTAATATTAATGAAACCTTTATATTTTCTTAATAGGAGTAACTGTCTTCGTAAATGACGAATAATCCGGACACATTTTAGTTATACCTTTTATCATTACCTTTACCTATAGACAGAAACTGCAAACAGAAAATTATCCGCAACACATTATCTACGAAAATGGCATATTTTTCCTCTTCAGATAAACGATACAGGTTTCATGGAGCCTCTAGTTTTTTAATTATTATTACAAGTTGTGAATCATGATCGATACGTGACACTTGTCCTATTTATAGAAAAATGTGAAACACATATGTGATTAAACAGGTAAAGTTGTATTTTCGATTTAGACGAGAACCCGGTAACATGGATGTAGTACATGTGAAAGTTTTGATTCTTTTTGGACTATTAGTGGCTTCATTTCTTATCGGATTTATTCCAGTGAAATGTATCTATCACTACAGAAGGAACATGGGAACATCAAGAGTGTATCGTCGTGTGTTAAGCACTCTTAGCTGTTTTGCTGCAGGTGTATTCATGGCTACATGCCTTTTGGATCTACTTCCTGAAACAATAGAGGCTTTAGAACCACATATCAAGGAATCTAAGAAATTTCAGCATTATCCTGTGGCTCAGTTTATAATGATTATAGGATTAATTTTAATGTTAACGGTCGAACAATGTGTTAAAAAATACCAGGAAAAACGAGGAAGAATTAGCCATGATTCAAATGATACGAATAATACCGAAAGAAACGGCCTTATATCCAACGAAGATGAGTTTCGCGTATCATATAGTTCATCGGGCGTTGGAACAGACGACTCTGCAGGAGAGAATAAAACACATGACTTTGAGAACAGTGTAACCCTTTCGGTGAAGACATCTGAAACAAATAGTTCCACTCTGAGATCTATCTTGCTGGTAATAGCTTTAGCTCTACACTCTATTTTCGAGGGAATAGCAGTCGGACTACAAAAACAAACCACTGATGTTGTTGAAGTTTTTATTGGCCTCATTATTCATAAAGTAATTCTTGCCCTCAGTCTAGGTATGACATTAAGCCAAAGCAAACTTTCGTTTTGGGCACAGATACGATCGCTTGTTACTTTCGCCTCAGCTTCGCCGATCGGAATTGTCATCGGTTTACTGATTGTGGAATATGGTCAAGGAACAACATCTTCTTTGGTAGAGGGGATCTTGCAAGGGTTAGCATGTGGAACATTCTTGTATGTCACATTCTTTGAAATACTCAAACACGAATTCAGCATTCCAGACATTCGGTTAATTAAGACTTTATTTTTATTTCTTGGATTTATATGTATGTCAGGTTTATTATTAATCCATGACCATGATGAACACTGATGGTTAGATTCTTCTTTATGTAAGTTTTAGCTGTTATTTAATTATTTAACTAACCTAAACGTTAGGCTGTTTAAACTTTAAATAACCAATGACATTTTTATCGTGTGTTGTAATACATGCAACCACTTGACAAAAATTTCCTGTTAATTTTTAAAGAGGTAATTTTTAAGATTATCGTCATAAGATAAAACATCGTCAAAAGATAAAATCCTTGTAAATGTAATATGTATCATTTCCTCAAAAATATCTATATATATAGATATATGATTTACTTATATAATACGAATGTTTGTTAACTTCGAAATTTGTATGTTTGTAAATATTGCCATTTGTATGTCATGTATTGTATGTCAATATTTGGATTTTACACCAATAAATAATTTGATTTGATTTGATATGTATTGACGCTTTGTCATTAAATATCACCACAATATTGTTTTTATTTGTATTTTGCTTATTTTTTTGTAATTGATGACATTCCAATGTTTGGATTAAGTTTCAATGAAATGTTGGATTTTGATTTTTGCAATAAAAAGAAACTATTGTTATAAAATTGTTGTCTTAAAATATAATCATTTTCATAACATGTATAAAGTTATTGCAAACGGCTGATATTTTTGTTCGAGCAGATTGTTTTTCTTTAATTGTTTACATTTCATACCAGTATAACATGTTACTTTTATTATTCTTCCTTTAGTTTATTTTTTTTGTATTTACATTGTATCATAGATCAAATTTATTTGTTCAGTGTATGTTCAATGGTGTTAATATGTCCTTTGATTGAGTTAAGCTATTTCAGTTGATATTTTATAGTGTGTCTTTCTATGTTGTGATGTTACACTATTGTTTCAGAAAAAGGGTGAAGGTTTGGTACCATTAAAACGTTTAAACCCGCTGCATTTGTTTGCACCTGTCCTAAGTCAGGAATCTGATGTTCAGTAGTTGTCGTTTGTTGATGTGGTTCATAAGTGTTTCTCGTTTCTCGTTTTTTATATAGATTAGACCGTTGGTTTTCCCGTTTGAATGGTTTTACACTAGTAATTTTGGGGGCCCTTTATAGCTTACTGTTCGGTGTGAGCCAAGGCTCCGTGTTGAAGACCGTACTGTGACCTATAATGGTTTACTTTTATAAATTTTGACTTGGATGGAGAGTTGTCTCATTGGCACTCATACCACATCTTCTTATATCTATTTGCTATATACTATCAATTCCTATAGTTACTTCAGAAATAATATTGAGTTAACTTTAGGATCCCAGTCACTTCGAAATATTGAAAGGCAAACTGTGCTATAAGCCTATGAGTGTTCACATGGCCAAAGCCAAGAAAATACGGAAACAATTGCAATTAAGTTGATTCAGAGATTACCAGATGAGCTTTACAAATAGGGAAAATGTTACAACAAATAATATGCTTCAACTTTGATCTATGTCTAAGGGACTAAAACATCTCAATGCTATTTTGAGAACATTCAGTGTTCATATCAGCCATACAATTGCTTTCGGCACACGCTTTTAATATATTTTGGGTAAAATGAAAGGAAAATTAAAGAATATTTTCCCGCGTTTAGATAACCTGGCAACGAGATTAATAGTAAGACCTAGAGTGTTAGACCTATAGAGACCTATTCATATAGGCAAATTGAAATATTTTTCCTTTTACAATTTTGTTTTAAAATCAAATATCATTCAGTTCAGTAGCATTTGTCAAACTCCAAATCATTATCAAATGTTTCTTTATGGTTTGACGTAGGTAAAATTACTCAATTATAGATTTCGTTATAGATTTAGGGTTTTGTGAATTACAAATAATAAATGTAATTCTTACGATTAACATGTTTGCAATTCATGTTGAAATAAACAAATGTAACATCTGGAGAGAAATGGTAATGGCGGATAGGGTTGTAAAACTTAACGTTGGTGGCGTGTTATACACGACATCTAAATCTACCCTTACTTCGATACCCCAGTGTTATCTTTGTCAGCTGGTGACAGGAGCTATCAGACCACTTAGAGATGAACGGGGGACGATATTTATCGACAGAGACGGGCACGTCTTCAGGTATTTTTTTCTTTCTCTCTCGTGTTTGAATTACTTAATTTAATTTATTTTATTAAAAAAAATTATGAATTGAAATGTAACAGATTATTACATGTTTTAATTGTTATCAATTTAAAATTATACAAAATAAGGAAATACATGTACATTCAATTCAGTGACTAACATGACTAAAAATGTCCAATCTATGTTGCGTCATTTTCTTGTCATTGGTTTCAGGCTGAAATATTTTATTACTTTCCAAGAATAATAATCGTTCTTTTGATTATGACAGGCAATTGTAAAATATTTTAAAATTGAAAAAATTTTCTTTTTAAAATTCTTTATATTTTACAAATGAGATATATTACTAGAAGTGTGTATTTCTTGCTTGTTGTGTAAACGGTTTAATTTGTATGGTTGTCCCCCCCCCCTTATATAGTGTTCATAATTGAAGGATTAAAGTATAACTACATCGATTTCTATTTAAAAAAAAACTCAAACTAAAATCAAATAAATTGAGGTTGTGCAATCTGTTGTATAATAAGATTAATAATCAATACAATGAATTATTATAATGTTTGCTCCTAACATTCTTTACATCACATGGTGGCATCTGCAATCATTAAACTGTATTCAGTCTTCCAGTCAGTGACCTACGTCTTGTATACTATAAGGTCCAGTGCACAATATGAAAATGTGTGAAAATTATAACAAGTTTGTGGTAAATAATCAATAGACAACAACCCGAAACAAAAAGTAAAACCACCGTATATAGAAATTTCGACGTAGGTATACAATTCATAGACGCAGAAAAGCGTCCAAGCAATTCGAAAAAAAGGAGATGAGAGATATATGATCGTATGTATCACCCAGCAACTCAACTACCCTAAAACCAAAAGACATTTAAAGTCTTCAATAATAGACACGGGTCTATACAAGAGAGGCGAAAGATACCAACGGGACATCCAAACTCATAAGCCGAAACTAAACTGACATCGCTATGGCAAAAAAAAAAAGACAAACATTACACAAAACATAACACAGAGAACTATATGCAATATACAATATGCAAGGCTCTAAATCGATCTCCCTACGTCAAACAAGAAATTGTGAATACATTCTTGTGAGTAAAGGTGACAGGGACTATCAACGATCTGTCATCAGAACCTAAATGACAATATACATTTGAGAAATAACAAAACACAAACACTTGCGAGGTCCATGACTTGCGGACAGCTAGTGAAGTATGTAAACTAGTTTCTCGGGATCATAACCCTTTCTCTTTAATCTCGATAAATGGAAGTATAAATGAATGACACAGCAAAGACAATCAGTTTATTAAAAATTGTATTGAGCAATGCAAAATTCTACTTTAGCAACCCTTTGCTAAAGTAAATATTTGACTTGCCAAAAAAACTAAATTTTGATAAAGCACATACAGTAACCATATCATTAAAAGAAAATGCACTTAATTCTATGATAACGGTATATATATATAACAAAAACAAAAACAAAAACAAAAGAACTAACAAAAGAATACCGTATCATAGAATGCTCGCAGTTACTTATTTATCTAATGCACATGTATACCCCGAGGGGTTGAAGGCAAATAAACAATACATTACAAATATTACACAATGCAAAAATAATAAAATATTAAACATCATACAAAGCGGTAGTAAAAAAGTGATAATATGTATGCAGGTGTTGTGTCCACTCTCCTCAGTGCAAATGACTTTTTAATGAACGGAACAGTAAGCTGCATAATATCAAATGAAGATAGAAGCTTTTTCAGATAATTTCAAAAATTCTGGACAAATATTATTTATGTCTTTTTCAAGCTTTTTTCGCAAAGATTCATTAATTTTACATGCGAAGAAAAGGTGGGCTCATTGTATCATTCTTACTTTTTATACTTTAATAAAAAAAATAAAACACAAAGTAAGCGTCGACATGCTACATATTACGTCAGATTATAATTTGAACAAAGCAAAAAAGTATGTACAAAATACCGAACTCATATTCAAATTCAAAAAGGGAAACGTCCATAATTAAACCGCACAAAATCAAATGCTCGGCTTTATCAAACAACGGAAAACTACTGTCATATTCCTGACTAGGTACAGGCATTTTCTAAAGAAAACGGTCAGTTAAACCTGTTTTTATACGACCGCAAAAAAATTTTGTGGTCGTATATTGGTATGAGGTCGTCGTTGTCGTCGTCGTCGTCGTCGTCCGGCGTCGTCGTCGTCCGAAGACACATTGGTTTTCGCACTCTAACTTTAGTTTAAGTGAATGGATCTCTATGAAATTTTATCATAAGGTTCAATACCACAAAAGGAAGGTGGGGATTGATTTTGGGGGTTATGGTACCAACAGTTAAGGAATTAGGGGCCAAAAAGGGGCCAAAAATAAGCATTTTTGTAACTTCCAGACATTACTTGTATGTTAGTGTACGGATCTCTCTGACATTGTACCACAAGGTTCCATATCACAAAGGGAATGCTGGGATTGATTTTGGGGGTAATTGCCTTCAAATTTTAGGAATTATAGGGGCCAAAAAGGGGCAAAAAACAAGCATTTTTCTAGTTTCATGACAATAACTTGTGTGTAAGTTTATGGATCTCTCTGACATTGTACCACAAGGTTCCATATCACAAAGGGAATGCTGGGATTGATTTTTGGGGTAATTGCCTCCAAATTTTAGGAATTAGGGGCCAAAAAGGGGAAAAAAACAAGCAGTTTTCTAGTTTCATGACAATAACTTGTGTGTAAGTGTATGGATCTTTATGAAATTGTACTACAAGGTTCCATATCACAAAGGGTAAGCTGGAATTGAGTTTTGGGGTAATTGCCCAAAACGTTTAGGAATAAGGGGCCAAAAAGGGGCCAAAAATAAGCATTTTTCTAGTTTCCAGACAATAACTTGTGTTCAAGTGTATGGATCTCTCAGAAATTGTACTGCAAGGTACCATACCACAAAGGGAAGGCTGGGATTGATTTTGGGGGTAATTGCCTCAAAATTTTAGGAATAAGGGGCCATAAAGGGGCAAAAAAACAAGAATTTTTCTAGTTTCAGGACAATAACTTGTGTGTAAGTGTATGGATCTTTATGAAATTGTACTACAAGGTTCCATATCACAAAGGGAAAGCTGGGTTTGAGTTTTGGGGTAATTGCCCTAAACGTTTAGGAATTTGGGGCCAAAAAGGGGCCAAAAAACAAGCATTTTGCTAGTTTCCAGACAATAACTTGTGTTCAAGTGTATGGATCTCTCTGAAATTGTACTGCAAGGTACCATACCACAAAGGGAAGGCTGGGATTGAGTTTGGGGGTGATGAATCATAAGGGGGTTCAAAAAATTGGGGGGGGGGGATTTTTTTTCCTTTTTTTTCTTTAATATTTTCCATTTTAAATTGGTTATTTCTGATTTATATATAAAACAAATAATAATGATATGGTTTGAATAGGTAAATTAAATTTTTTTAAGTTCTTAGACCACATTCATTCTGTGTCAGAAACCTATGCTGTGTCAAATATTTATTCACAATCCAAATTCAGTGCTGTATCAAGCTTGAATGTTGTGTCCATACTTGCCCCAACTGTTCAGGGTTCGACCTCTGTCGTATCAAGCTGCGCCCCAGCGGAGCATTTTATTAAAGCTAGCTTAACCTCTTACTTATGATTGATTTATCCAGAGATAATAACGAATGAAACTTTCTTTGGAAAACTAATACTAGAAAGTAATTCTGATGTTTTCACATTTTTTAAATTTTGACATGCTCAAGGGTCGATCATTTTCTCTTACGCCTTATGTGAGTTAAAGGTTCTTCTCTAGTCCAAATAATTTTGACGTCTTGCAAGGCTATTTTAATTTTTTTTCTGTTCCGACGTAGGAAGGCGTCACAGAAAAAAAAATAAAATAGCCTTGCAAGACCTCATAATTATTTGGACTAGTTCTTCTCTATTGCATATCTAGAGATTATAACGAATGGATCATTCTATAGAAAACGAATAAATGTTTTCACATTGCTCAATGGTCGACCATTTTCCCTTACGCCTGATGTGAGTTAAAGGTTCTTCTCTTTTGCATATCTAGAGATTATAACGAATGGATCATTCTATAGAAAACGAATAATGTTTTCACATTGCTCAAGGGTCGATCATTTTCATGTTTTGTATTATTTTTCTTCAGGTACGTCCTTAACTACCTGAGATCCAAGAAACTTACTTTACCACAAGGTTACAAAGAGTTAGCTATGTTGAAGGAGGAAGCAGAATACTACGATTTGTGTCAGCTAGTGTTCAACGTGGAAAAGGTTCTAAAATCTAGACGGAGAAACCGGAACAAGCCTCGGAACAAAGGAGGACAGAATCAGAGGGTTGCGCCGTCCAACGCCCTTAGCAGAAGTCTCGGATCTGACATGAACTCTCTCGCCCTTTGTGACGAGAATGGGTCGGTTATTTTCGAAGATGATTCTTCGGATTATTTTTATGATTAGTGGTAATGTGAACTGCTTTATTATAGTCATCCAGATTCACTTCAGTTGTCTGGTGATCAGAAATCATTCATGCATGCCGCATTCAACTGTGTTTGTGCTGGCCAAAACTAGATTACAGCTTTCGATCTAGCTTGTTCATATTTTTGGAAGTATTACCGGTGAAATCAATGACTTAAAAGTTTCGTACTTGTTTCGGAGTCACTCTAAAAATCGCAGTGATTTTAAAGTCATTTGTGTTTAAAATAAAATGGATTGACGGGTAACTTTTCTCCTTTTTCTTCATAAAAAATTGACAAACAAGATACCGATTTTAAAACACATGAAACATCACTGGTCCTCAGAAATTGTGAGAATTACACAAAATCTATTGACATTACTGAAATGTTGAAAGCCGTCAAGCGGTACCCAATGCAAAAATAAAAAAGGAAGAAAAGAAAATACGTCATAATCTAAAAAAAAATGATTGCTGTAAATAAGTATTAGTGAAGACTATAGTTTTGATCCCTTTTCGGAAACAGATAATCCCTCTATAATGTTTTATTAAAAGACAAATTAGTATCGATTGTCAGTTATAGCAGTCTCAGTTATAATTTGCCATTATATGCACGTCTTTCAACATTTTAAATATATTTAAATATACACAAACCGGTCACAATGTATGAGAATCAAGTGAAAAAAGACAAAATTACGGAAACGTAAGCGACGTCTACCAAAAAGTCAACTTTTAAAAATTAGAAACTTAAATATGTTACCGGCATCCATTTCTTACAAAATGCACAGTAAGCATGGCCTATTGTCAAATTGTTCTAACAATTTTGAGAAATAAAACAAAACTTCAGTTATTCAAATTTTACAGATATAAAGGAACTACTACAGACTTCATTACAGAATCTTTGGTCGTTTGAAAGTCGGTTCAAACCCACTTTTCTGTTATCAAGTACGGATTAAAATTAAATTTGCGGAACAGTATAGTAAATAAGGATACATCTACAAAATGAACACATTATGGAAACGTTTGTCTGTTTCTTAAAAACCTTTAGAAATAGGTTCAAGTTGGTTAGTTGGCAATTTACAATATCAATTTATAGAAAGAAAAAAACTGAAAATCAGTACTTATTTGTCTTTGGAAAAAAAAACAAGAGCAATGCTTAAAATATATCAACAGTAAGAGAGCCAAATCTTAATACAATAACCCTTGTTTTCAAGTTCAATCACCAAGAACATTTCGGCATGAAAATTGATAAAAACAAAAGTTTATTTGGACATTTATAGATAGCAGTTAACACAAAGGTCAGTGTGGGTTCATCAATGATACAAAATCGTATGAAACAATTATAATCACATTTTTCAAACTTCCCAAAAGGTAAATATACACATATGCCAATTTGTCAAAGATATCATTCACGTGATTTCATTTGGGGTATTTGGCAGATGTTAGCACAAATTAGGCTATTTTCTGCATATTGTTGCTAAATGAATAATAAAGCAAGTAAAAAGCTGGCACCGCCAACTGATTCGCTCCTAACTGCATTAGATATTGAGAGATATTTTTTTTTCAATGGTTCAAAATACTGGTATGCTCAGAGGGACAAATAAATATGTACTATTATTGCTTATTTTCACCTGTATTAATGTGTTGCAATTCGTAGTGGGATACCATACCATAACCAAATTTTAAAAAGTGTTTTTTTCAACAGTGACCTTGACTTTTGACCACTAAGCCTTTAAATCAATCAGTTTCTTCAATTTATGCACTTTATCTTCCATTCTTAATAAGTTCATTCCAATCATGCAAGGAAAATTCAAGTTAGAATCCGAAAACCAATTTTCCATTATTTTTTTGACAGTGACCTTGACCTTTGACTATTGACCCCAAAATCAATACGTTTCTACTCCTTCTCTTCATCTTCCATCTGTATAGGTTTCATTCCAATCAAGCAAGGAACAAACAAATTAATCATCCGGAAACAATTTGCTTCTGGACAGATGGACAAAGCAATTACTTTTTGATCCCGGAATTTTTTGGGGAGCATATCAAAGGTATCATCAACACACTTTTTCCCCAACATAGATAAACACAAAATACACAATTCTTGTGTAACTATCTCTTCAGGGCAAAGGTTTAACTCTACTTTATTTCTCAGCATGTGTGTGTTAAACAGTAGAGCTTTTGAGAAATTTGGCCATTTAATTAAATTTTAGTTCTAGGAGCAATCTGAGGTGAAAATGAACCTTATCCTTACTTTTTAATCTAATTGTTCCAAAGACTACTTATTCATTTTTTTTAAACTGACTACCATTCAAGGCAATGATGCTACAAGCGCCATCAATCAGAACATGAAGTTACCCATAATTATCTATTCAAGGTAGGCTGTAATACAAAATAATTCATTCATTTTGGTGAAATATCAGACAAAGATTTCCCTCTGATATTGTGAAGTACTGTTGATTCATTATTTATTGTGAGATTTTCTAATTATCAGGTTTTCTGCAAATTGATATACATTATCAGCTGGCAGCCACAATATAAAGCTATTTGTCCAGTTAGAGCAGTGAATGTAAAAGACATAATATGATGAAAATCTGATATTTCATTTATCCGCTTGTATTGGTGTGTTTTTTAAGAGACAAACTAATGTTTGCTTTGTTTAACTGCAAACAAGAAGAAGACTTAATAACATTGGTGATAAGTCTTGGTCAAAGTTGAGATCAAGTATATTCGATGTCAAAAAGGCATCATATGCAATTTTATGAAGAGCTGAGCAGAGTGATATAGACAGAGAGAAGGGAATAAACTAATTTTCCTGGGTTTCCTTGGTGAAGATTGACCACAAATTGAACAAAAAATACAAATTTTCTATAGGCTTGTATGAAGAATTTGTTAAAACCCTGAGAACAAATATTCATGAAAATAGGTCCATGAAAATAAATGAATCCAATCGAAATTAATATCGTACAACTAAATATAGGGACATATAATCTCTGGGGATCTCTTAGTCTACAAATAAAAGAATGGTATTTCTCCATCACCTACATTTCATGATTCATTGGTATCAACTGTTCAATTTTTTAGTATAGATAAGAATAGTTTTCTTACATTAAATTACCTTCACACAAGCTGAGGCTTACATAAAATTTCATGGAGGAAAATTTTCAAAAAAATTCAGGTACAGCAGTTTTTTCAACTCCATACCAAATGCAAAAACATCTCTTTATCAGCCTAAGCGTATACATTTTTTTTTTATCATGTCCCCCTCTAGATTAAGACATTCCAAGGAAGTGACAAAGAGTGCATTTTATTATAGATTATCTATGGTTTTTCAAACGAGAGGGTGTTTCTCAGCTACAATCTCATCGAAGGGTGACTTACCATTGATAATCTGTTTATCGCTATTTTGCGTATGAAGTCATCCATGTTAACATTGAGGACAGCACATGCACCCTTAGTTTCTGACTATAATTTTCCATCTCAATTGAGTAGCATGATATGAAAAATAACTTGTCATGATTAAAATATATACCAAACATCAAATCAATATCATCAGTACACGAAGAAATAAAATGCTCCGCAGGGCGCAGCTTGATACGACCGCAGAGGTCGAACCCTGAACAGATGGGGGAAGTATGGACACAACATTCAAGCTTGATACAGCTTTGGATTTGGATTGTGATTAAATATTTGACACAGCATAGGTTTCTAACACAGATTGAATGTGGTCTAAGAACTTAAAAATTTTAAATTGGACATTCACCTATTATGGTCCAATATCCAAAATCTAAATACATGGTTAGATTCAGCATATCAAAGAACCCCAAGAATTCAATTTTTGATGAAATCAAACAAAGTTTAATTTTGGACCCTTTTGACCTCAATGTGGACAAAGTTGATAACGGGGCCCAAAAATCAAAAATCTAAATACATGGTTAGATTCAGCATATCAAAGAACCCCATATATTCAATTTTTGTTGAAATCAAACAAAGTTTAATTTTGGACCCCGATTTGGACCAACTTGAAAACTGGGCCCATAATCAAAAATCTAAATACATGTTTAGATTCAGCATATCAAAGAACCCTAAGAATTCAATTTTTGTTAAAATCAAACTAAGTTTAATTTTGGACCCTTTGGACCTTAATGTAGACCAATTTGAAAACGGAACCAAAAATTAAGAATCTAAATACACAGTTAGATTCGGCATATCAAAGAAACCCAATAATTCAATTTTTGATGAAATCAAACAAAGTTTAATTTTGGACCCTTTTGACCTCAATGTGGACAAAGTTGATAACGGGGCCCAAAAATAAAAAATCTAAATACATGGTTAGATTTAGCATATCAAAGAACCCCATATATTCAATTTTTGTTGAAATCAAACAAAGTTTAATTTTGGACCCCGATTTGGACCAACTTGAAAACTGGGCCCATAATCAAAAATCTAAATACATGTTTAGATTCAGCATATCAAAGAACCCTAAGAATTCAATTTTTGTTAAAATCAAACTAAGTTTAATTTTGGACCCTTTGGACCTTAATGTAGACCAATTTGAAAACGGAACCAAAATTTAAGAATCTAAATACACAGTTAGATTCAGCATATCAAAGAACCCCAATAATTCAATTTTTGATGAAATCAAACAAAGTTTAATTTTGGACCCTTTGGACCTCAATGTGGACCAATTTAAAAACGGGGCCCAAAATCCAAAAACTAAATACACGGTTAGATTCAGCATATTAAAGAACCCCATGAAATCAAGAATAAAAACCCCATTGAAATTGGTCAAGAAATAAGCAATTTATAGGAAGTATCTTCTTTTGCACAATCCTGTGCTATTAAATATTTCTTGCTATTGCGCAATACTGTACAATTGACAATTTCTTGCTATTGCGCAATATTGTGCTATTGGATATTTCTTGCTATTGCGCAATACTGTGCAATTGAAGATTTCTTGCTATTGCGCAATACTGTGCAATTGAAGATTTCTTGCTATTGTGCAATACTGTGCAATTGAAAATTTCTTGCTATTGCACAATACTTATTATATAATAATTTACACATCCTGTTTGGTGTGTATCTCCTACCATATCATTATTATTTGATTTTAAATATAAATCAGAAATAACCAACTTAAAATGGAAAATTTTAAAAGAAACAAAAAAGGAAAAAAAGAAAAAAAAGGAAAAAAAAAATAAATCCCCCCCCAAAATTTTTTGAACCCCCATTATGATTCATCACCCCCAAACTCAATCCCAGCCTTCCCTTTGTGGTATGGTACCTTGCAGTACAATTTCAGAGAGATCCATACACTTGAACACAAGTTATTGTCTGGAAACTAGAAAAAAATGTGTTTTTTGGCCCCTTTTTGGCCCCAAATTCCTAAACGTTTAGGGCAATTACCCCCAAACTCAAACCCAGCTTTCCCTTTGTGATATGGAACCTTGTAGTACAATTTCAGAAAGATCCATACACTTACACACAAGTTATTGTCATGAAACTAGAAAAATGCTTGTTTTTTGCCCCTTTTTTGGCCCCTAATTCCTAAAATTTGGAGGCAATTACCCCCAAAATCAATCCCAGCATTCCTTTAGTGATATGGAACCTTGTGGTACAATGTCAGAGAGATCCATACACTAACACACAAGTTATGTCAGGAAGTTACAAAATGCTTATTTTTGGCCCCTTTTTGGCCCCTAATTCCTTTACTGTTATTACCATAACCCCCAAAATCAATCCCAACCTTCCTTTTGTGGTATTGAACCTTGTGGTAAAATTTCATAAAGATCCATTCACTTAAACTAAAGTTAGAGTGCGAAAACCAATGTGTCTTCGGACGACGCCAGACGACGCCGGACGACGACGATGACGACGCCGGACAACGACGACGCCAACGTCATACCAATATACGACCACAAAAATTTTTTTGCGGTCGTATAAAAAGTGTGAAAAACTGATTTGCCGGACTGACAGACAGACAGACAGACAGACAGACAAAGTGCAAACCTAAAGTCCCCTTTGACTTCGTCGGTATGGGGACTAATTATCACAAAAAAAGTTTAAATGAAAAATACACAAAATAGCGATAATGCAATGAATTAGATAATTCATACTCCATAGAAATTTGAGACATTAACAGAAATCTTAAACAGCTTATCAATAATGTTAATCACAAAGGGCACTCACTGTTTTCATGCAAACAGCTATTACTTCAGTAATGTTAGAAATAAAATATTAATTTGTCTTTTCTTTTTTCAAGACTATTTAAAGTGCAAGTTTCACTTTTTATTTATTCCTTAATCTGTGATAATCCCATTCTCTATTTATCATGGTTATTTGTGCAAAATTACATACAACGCAAATTATTCTTACAACTGTATTTTTATTTGGTAAACATTGTACACATTTTATAACAATTTACACAACTTTTCTACTTTTTTCTTATAGCACATGATACTTATATATAATAATGTTTAAAAATATGTAAAACAATGTGAAAACAAATAAAAAAGCAAAAACAACAAAATATAAGAACTATTCAATCCAAATTAATAGCACAATAGTTATGGGGTCCTTATTTTACCAGAATATAGCAAAACATAAATGTTATATTTATTTGTTGTTTTTCTATTATTGGATCAAAGTAATTCATTATTTCTAAATCCAAGGATTATTGACATACATGTACAGAGAAAAACAACATTGTGAATGAATAACCTCACTGACAATAAATGTTAAAGCAATGAAATAACATTATTTTCATTAATGTGTAAAAAAAAATGACTTAACCTTAGTCTTTAGATAGTGAATTTTACAATCTGATTCACATTTATGAAATAAAGTGACATTGTTGAAAAGTCAGTTGTAAAGGGGCAAACACCAAAGATCACATATACTTAGCAACTTAAAGATTGCACCAACTCTTTGAAGACCCAACTTTCTTTCAAATTCATTTTTTTTTTAATTTATTTTGCTTCAATTTTTTTTTTAATTTAAGCATGAAGTTAACTAGAAATTAAATATAAAGAGAACTGAGAGAACTTTTTTTATAGTTGCACCCAAGTTTTCCACCAATAAAAGTAGAAAACCAGAAGTCGGAGATCTATGAATGATTTCTTACAATATCCAGTTTCAAACCAATTATTGAAGTATGTACATGTAGTATTGTGTAGCATAGAAAAACAAATACATAAAACAAAGAGGTTGTACAATCATGGGTAAACAAGTATACACTTATTTCTTGGAAAAAAATACAATCATAATCAAGCTTGTCTATCCTACGAACTGCGAAATTTCTTAAAATAGGTATGTTCTATCAGTCTTACATACTGTAAATTCATGAATTATTGCGATGTTTTTATTAATGTGAAAAATGCAACAGTATCAGGGTTTGCAATAATTAAAACTTGCATTCATAATTTCAGTAGTGATTTAAATTCACAAAATTTTAGCAATTGTATAAGTTAGTTCTCACATTTTTACCAGTAATCAGGTCTTTGCAATGATAAATCCACACATTAATTTCTGAATTCAGAGCAAGTAAAACACATTACATACCAGTAAACAATTGTGATGGGATTGCTTCCCTTAGTATATGTAGTAGATAATTAGCCAGCCGTAAGCAGTTGAGCTAGGAAAGTTCCTATTTAGCTCAGTCGGTTAAAGCACTGTCTTGTAACATAGAGGTCGCTGGTTCGAGTCCAGGAGGAGTCAATGTAATTTTGTAATGAAAATCATGCTCTCCCGTTTCACAATAAACATCTTAACCACAATAACAAAAAACAACAAGTAAACAATGAAGATTGGAACTGTACAAACTTTGAATACTTTGTATAACCAAAGCAGGGTAGATAATCAGTTATTAACTACACATTTTAACAACACAGAAAACAAGTTCTCATCACTAATATAGTGTCTTCTTAAAAATATTGTCTCCCACCATGCTGTCCTCCCATTGGCTGGGCTGTCATAGGTTGTCCTGTCATTGGCTGGGCTGTCATAGGTTGACCAGTCATAGGCTGAGCTGTCATTGGCTGTCCTGTCATTGGTTGAGCAGTCATTGGCTGTCCTGTCATTGGCTGAGCTGTCATTGGCTGTCCTGTCATTGGTTGACCTGTCATCTGAGTCGACATTCTCACCTGGGATGCTTGTTGTGGTGAATAGTTCTACAAAAAAATAATCCAAAGAAATCAAAATAAATTCAATATGCTGATATTGTTTTAAAATAGGAAAGGTAACCCAAAATATTACAACTATTTCTTTTTTTTTATAAATAAAGCATCATCAGTACACGAAGTACTTTTAAAACGATCATTGTATCACAGTCATGTCTCCCCCTTAAAAACTCCTTTAGCTGACAGAGAATCTGGTGTTTAGAGGTATATAGGTTCTGACAATACCTAACCTATAGTAGTTACTGCTTCTTCATTGTCCATTAAGGGAGGTAATATTTAATGTGAACTTTTTGTAAGATATAGTATTGTTTTTTGTTCATTTCAAGGTAGAATATTTACCGGTATATTGCAATAAAATATGAATATCTATTTAATAAACTGTTGACACAGAGATATGTCTCCCGTTTTGTACTTTTGATAGTATACTTGTAATGCAAATGTTTAAATTAAAATAGCAATATTTAAACATGTAAACAATGCAAATTATTCAGTCAATGCATCATGACTGAAAGTACAGAGCAAAATAACCTCCATGGAAAGGAAAAGTGCCAAAGCTTATAAAACTGCATACCAAATATCATTGACTTATCATGTCGTTCTCTTTAAACAAACCAAAACACAAACTTTAACATGTTAACTATGTAAAAGTTTCAAAGTCAATATTGTTTGTTTGTGTTTAACACTCCTTTCTGCCACCTTGGCTATATCATGGCGGCTAATCTTTATTGGTGGATGAAACCGGCGTACCTGGATAGAATCAACAACCTTTGGCAGGAAAACTGACATTTCTTGTCAATTAAGATTGGAGTTGAGCACCCCTCATAACAAATGGAGTTCAGGAATCTGATTACAGTAGTTGTCATCTGTTTATGTAGTTCATACGTGTTTCTCGTTTCTCGTTTTTATATAGATTAGACCGTTGGTTTTTCCGTTTGAATGGTTTTACACTAGTAATTTTTTGGGGCCCTTTATAGCTTGCTGTTTGGTGTGAGCCAATGCTCCGTGTTGAAGGCCGTACCTTGACCTATAATGGTTTACTTTTATAAATTGTAACTTGGATGGAGAGTTGTCTCATTGGCACTTATACCACATCTTCCTATATCTATTCAAACTCACAAGCTTAGAGTTGACAGACTAGTGTTCACTGTAGATAACCTACTTAGACCACTCAACCACTGTGGCACATGTGGAGGTGTAAAAATGGTTGTGTCTAGGGTTTACAAGTTTCATAAAGCAGGAACTGAAAATATATGTTGACATTCCAACATTTGCGCAAGAAACATGCCCAGAAACTTCAATTAGTTAATTAAGAAATTTAGAATTGTCACTAAATATCGTTCTACGTTTAGGGGTAAAGACTTGTTGCACAATCAGCACGTGGCAATTGTTTATTTACATTTTCACATGATCATCCTTAAGGTGCTTTTTGATTGGATGCAGCCAGATACAACTGCGACCAATAGAAACCATTACCTCGTGGATCCGAAATTCTATCTTAATCCACCAAGGCTGGAGAGGAGGGGACTGGATCGTCGCCCTTGGCTACCGAAGATGATGATAACCTGGCTGATATTGGGAAGTCCAGGTTTTATTTCTGTAAAAATATGAGAAATTGCTATGGACGTACACACAATCATGGGTACTACTTCAATAGTCCCTTCAACTTAGCAGAGGGAACTTTTGACCTATAATATAAGTTACCTGTTGAGGCTGTTGATAAGCAGAAGACTGGGGTGGGGCCTGGCCTCTGGCTGAGTATCCTGTTACTATGCTGCCCTGTAAATATATCATGAAGTAAGTATACATCGAAGCTTTGAATCAACAAGCATTCTGTGAGTATTGTATGGCAATACATAGTCACCTACCGGTTAAAAATTCATCGTAATGGAATGAAATTCTAACTTGATCTATAACTTGTCATGTGAATTTTCTGTGTCCAAAAACCATAACTCTGCACAAAATCATCAGACCGGAACAAAATTCCAACTTGATCTGTAACTTGTCATGATAAAACTATAAACTAATTATCAAATCAATATCTTCAAGAATGACAAACTAACTTCCACTAAATTCTTCAAACAATTTACCAAAAGACAAGGAAAAAAATCCAAAATGTCATTTTGTCTTTTAAATTTAAAAAAAAAAAAGAGTTATTCCACTTTGAACAGAAATCAACTAATTAACAAGAAATGATTGTAACAGGATGCTGTTACGAAGTCTCCCAAACGAAGCTCCTATAATTCGAAATTCCCAGTGTCACCTGACATTGGACAAAGTCCAGTGAAAATTGGTTTGGTCCAGTAAAGTATATGCATTAGTGATGCCTGAGGACTAACCCTGTATATCATTCAAATCATCTTGGCATGACAAACCAGAATATATATGGTTTAGGGGTGTTGATCTCGACCATTTACAAGATATTAGAACTTTCTCAAATGGCAGGGGGTCGGGATGACCCCTGGGGACTAACCCTGTATATCATTCAAACCATCTTAGCATGACAAACCAGAATATATATATGGTTTAGGGGTGGGGATCTCGACCATTTACAAGATATTAGAACTTTCTCAAATGGCAGGGGGTCGGGATGACCCCTGGGGACTAACCCTGTATATCATTCAAACCATCATAGCATGACAAACCAGAATATATATGGTTTAGGGGTGGGGATCTTGACCACTTACAAGATATTAGAACTTTCTTAAATGGCAGGGGTGGGGGTTACCCCTGGGGACTAACCCTGTATTTCATTTGATGTGCTTTATCATGACAAACCAGAATATATATGGTTTAGGGGTGGGGATCTCGACCATTTACAAGATATAAGAACTTTCTCAAATGGCAGGGGGTCGGGACGACCCCTGGGGACTAACCCTGTATATCATTCAAACCATCATAGCATGACAAACCAGAATATATATGGTTTAGGGGTGGGGATCTTGACCACTTACAAGATATTAGAACTTTCTTAAATGGCAGGGGGTGGGGGTGACCCCTGGGGACTAACCCTGTATTTCATTTGTTGTGCTTTATCATGACAAACCAGAATATATATGGTTTAGGGGTGGGGATCTCGACCATTTACAAGATTTTAGAACTTTCTCAAATGGAAGGGGGTGGGGATGACCCCTGGGGACTAACCCTGTATATCATTCAAACCATCATAGCATGACAAACCAGAATATATATGGTTTAGGGGTGGGGATCTTGACCACTTACAAGATATTAGAACTTTCTTAAATGGCAGGGGGTGGGGGTGACCCCTGGGGACTAACCCTGTATTTCATTTGATGTGCTTTATCATGACAAACCAGAATATATATGGTTTAGGGGTGGGGATCTCGACCATTTACAAGATATTAGAACTTTCTCAAATGGCAGGGGGTCGGGATGACCCCTGGGGACTAACCCTGTATATCATTCAAACCATCTTAGCATGACAAACCAGAATATATATGGTTTAGGGGTGTTGATCTCGACCATTTACAAGATATTAGAACTTTCTCAAATGGCAGGGGGTCGGGATGACCCCTGGTGACTAACCCTGTATATCATTCAAACCATATTAGCATGACAAACCAGAATATATATGGTTTAGGGGTGGGGATCTCAACCATTTAAAAGATATTAGAACTTTCTTAAATGGCAGGGGGTTGGGGTGACCCATGGGGACTTACCCTGTATTTCATTTAATGTGCTTTATCATTTAGAACATTTTCAATTAAAAAGATTGTGTCTATCACAAACGGTTTTCAATTTATAATCATTTGAAAATTTAAAAAAATAAAATCCCATAGGGTTCTATAGTAAAACCCTCCTTTCTTTTTGCCCCTCAAAGTACCCCTTTATAAACCCCAATGCACAAACAAAACCCTGATTGCACCACTAGACATGTTAGTCTAGCATATTGTGAAACCCTAAGTTAATCTGACAAGCAGTTTTGGAGAACGGGTGCGGACAAGTTCAAATTTAAAAGCGGCGGAAGAGGAAGAAGAAGAAGAAGAAGAATTAAAAACCAATTGTTCAGAGAACAATTGAAGGTCTTTCCACAAAAAAACATGTATTTTAATATGAAAATAGTAAAATTCGTTTTAAAATGTCATTTCCAGCTTCAAATGATAGCTTATTGTACGCTGATTCCAAAAATATATGGTTTCTATACAATACTTTTTAAATAAGGGAGATAATTTGTTACTTCCTGTTTGAAAAATGTTACTTCCGGTATTATTCAAACGTTTAATTGACACTGATACCAAAAATATCTGGTTCTATAAATTTTTACATTAATTAAGTACAAAAAAAAGCTACTTCCGGTTTACACAAGGTCACTTCCGGTTGGCTTTTCTAAGGTTAAATGGCTTGAAACCTAATGCAAAAAGTCCCATGGATTTATCATGTATACATATGAGGTAAAAGCAAAGGTCAAAATCTAGAATGTCAATTTAACCTATGACCTTGAGCTCAATTTCAAGGTCATCAACCAAGGACCTAAGATCAAAAGACCCTAGGACTTAATTATATTTGGTTCATGAGTTATATCACCATATGCATATTTTTAAATAAAAGAGGGGAGAAAACTCTAATTTGATGTAAGCGTACCCTTTAAACCGATATGCATGTGTTACAACATGTCGCAACTAACAATTTAGTAAAAATATGTTGTCGATATCTTATATCGTGTTTGAAAAGAGGTGAAAATAAGCCAAAATCCAAATTTAAAAATGACCTTGACCTTTGACCTTGACCCTATTTTCTTTTTTTTGGACCAAGGACCTCAAATCAAAAGACCCTAGGTCCCTATCACTTATTGTTTACCAATTACAATTACATTTTACTTATTTTAAATACAGAAGGGGAAATAACTCTCATATAGAGTTTCTGGACCGCTTCGGTCAAAATTATTCTTAAGATCCTGAGGATATAACGAACAAATTGGAGACATAAATTTGTCATAATCTTTTATGGTTGCGAAGGAGATGCGTACACAAGAAAAACAGTGTTTGGGGAGATAACTCTTACAATAAAAAGTATTCGGCTAAACAGGGTCAGTTTGAAAATCGCAATAACTGTTCGATATCATACACAAAAAATCTAAGCGACATCTTGCGAAACAAAAAAGCACCGTCAGAAAAAAGTGGCGGAAGAAGAAAAAAATAATAATAATAATCAGAAGAAAACCAATAGGTCTTTCCACAGAAAAGTGGAAAGACCTAATAATAATAATAATAAGAACTGAGCAAAACCAATAAGTCTTCCCAAACTTCGTTTGGGAGACTTAATAACTATTTCATCAAAAATTTAATTCTAGGGAAAGGGCTTTAACTGAACAAAGAGAAAAGCTAAAATCGTGAAAATTGAACTTGACCTGTAACTTGTCATGATAAAACAATAAACCAAATATCAAATCAATATCTTCAAGCATGAAGAAAAAAAGTCTAGAAAACTGATTTGCCGGACTGACAGATGGACAGACAGACAGACAGACGGAGTGCAAACCTAAAGTCCCCTTCGACTTCGTCGATAGGGTACTAATAACTTACTTTCATATGTCATTCATGCTGAGCCACATCTCTATATTAATCTATGCTACATAATTTAACATTTATACTCCTGCAGCTAATACATTAGTTTACTTAAACTAGGTTTATTTATTGTCCATTCACAGATTGAAAGATTTATATCTCACTTAGACTATCCAGATTGATTCCCTTAGCATTTTTAACCATGCACATTGTTCACAAAAAACATTTTGGCTTATTGGACGGAAAAGCTGTTTTCACAAAATGGTGATCCATAAGGCTTTTCACACTTGTTACCTACTCTTCTTTGTTTTTACTTTGTTGGACCAGAAGGCTTGTGGTTTATTGTAAAGATTGTATTCATGTTTTAAAAATACGACTCATAGTGCTTTAGATTCTAGAGATAAAATGTGACCCAAAATGTTGAATAAATATAGAATAACCATACATTGTCTCAAACTATATATTTTATTTGTACAAGGCTTAAAAACAGGGATAAAGTTCAGCGAGTTTCTATCCTGTTTTGAGCAAAGTACAAATAAAATTTATATTTCGAGACAATTTATGGTTATTCTTTATATACTGCAACTCCTACAACTGTTCCAAATGAAATATTTAGCGTAAAAACCATCATTTTTGAATTTCGAGCGAACGACGTAAAAACTCCTCTAACCTTTTAATGACGTCATAAATAAAACTCTACAGAAACGCATTGTCAACGTCATAAACAAGGTTATATACGGTCAGTGACTGTATATCACAAATGATTATACGGTCAATGCAATTTGACGGCACAAATAGCACATCTGCAGCATATATCTACAGCACATGGTAAATTAAAATTAATTTAAAGCTAAAATTGATTTAATAAGATTTCTTGATAATTGCTTTTAGATCAAATAAAAGGGATTAAACAGCTTTAGTAATGACTACAAACCTTTTGTTGTGGCTGCTGTTGTAACTGTATTTGTTGGTGTATTAGTCCCTGGGGGGTCTGGGCAGGTATTGGTGCAACTCCTCTAATCTGTTGCTGCTAAAACGTAAATTATACACTGAAGCAATGGTTGTGTAAATAACATAACTCTCAAGAATTGTTAATTACAAGATCATTAATGTTGATAGTAGGGATGTCATCTTGGTGAAAAATTACAAATCAAGTACTCGTTAAATTTGATCGAGCGATACTCAAGTACTTGCTTGGAAAATATGTCCAAATTGATAAAACAATCATACATATTTAACACTTTGTGTATTGTTGTCTAACTGACCTTCAATCCCTTCATTATTATCTGGGACTAAGAATGATAGGAATTATGTACCATAATAAATTGTTCAATTACAACATGTACTTATTATTTAAACAATAATCCAATTCATAATTAAATAAACACCTTTTGAATACAAATAACTATCAATTCAATCCAAATCAAACATAATCGTAAAGAAAATACTGGTGTTATATGATTAGAAGTGTTATATGATACACTGCTGTGACACCAATTTGTCAGTTTTAGCATTGTGTTGTTTGACTCTTATATGGTGTTACATGTTTGTAGTACCCTAACAAAGTTTACATTTCACCAATTTACTGTCAATGCATCTTTTAAAGTATTTGAAAACGGAAGATTTCTGAGGTATTTTATACAATAATTTGGAGCAAGCGTATGCATACAAAATTTTTTTAACCATGATTAATAAGTGATTTAATTTAATTTTCTGAGGGGCTTTTTCCAGAAAAGTCATTTTTTTGGAAAGAAAGGGGCAATGTTAGAACAGAAAACTGATTAATCGAGTATCATTTTGGTATTCGATACTCGGTAAAACCGAGTGATACTTGAGTACTCGACATCCCTAGTTGATGGGTTTGTTCTCAACAAGGAGTGATTCTTTTCATAACCTCTTGGATGCCTGGATGCTTGAGAATGTCACTACAAACTGAACAAATCTATGGTCTAAATTATTCTGATTGTTGAATGTGATGTCACACAAGAATTGCTTCTTGCAAGTAAAATTGAAGCGAAAATTAAGGACAAAGGATAATAATAAGATAAGAGTTATTTCAGAAACCAATCATTTTTTGTGAGCAATTTTTCTTGACTTTCATGAATAGAAAAATAACACAAATATAAATCATTGTGAATATGTAAAACTTAGAGCTCTCCTTATATAAATACAACATGAAGTTTAGAAAATAAATCACAGAAAAAATAGATATGAGCCAAAACATGACCTTAAGCGAAATTTTACACACATTTACAGCTCTTTTCATAATGCTGGCAAGACAAAGGTTTGTTTGGCTTGCTTGCTTTGTTTGTATCGATGTTTGCTCAAGCGTTGTTATTAAGATTGACATCTGAAAATATTATAAAAAGGCGGATTTAAACTTGTATAAATTATATTTAAATTTGATTGGACATTATCAAATAATCAAATTTACCTATACACAGGTTTAACTCCGCCTACTTATATTGTTTGTAGATGTTATTCTTAATTACAATGCTTGAGCAAACATTGATACAAACAAAGCAAGCAAGCCAAACAAACCTTTGTCTTGCTAGCATTATGAAAAGAGCTGTAAAACATCTTTGTTCAGTACATCTCATAGCAATTTATCATTTTGGTAAAGCCTTAGGCCATATCTATATATCAATGACAAGATCACATAATTAAGCTATTTTGGCAGTTTTTCAAGTTTTGCACTAGCTGCAAGTAGTTCGAAGCCTTAGTTAAAATATGGAAGACAAAATTATAAAATATAAATACTGGCGTCTGGCAGACTAATATCTTATGAACATGTGAGGGATACTATTTAACATATTTATAAAACCCTTTCTGATTTTTAATTCAAAGGGGCCAAAATATCATACCTTCCCCTTTATGCTATATTTTTTTTGTGGATTATGTTTATAGTGGGCAGTATCTTGAAGGTGTATTCAATCTTAATGCAGTTCCTCTTTTATCTTTTTTCAATTTTCAAAATGTACTGAAATAGGACAACTATAACATACTTTGATATGTAATTTGCCAATATTTTTTATATACATATAAATATGACAATAAGAGTATACGTATCAGCCTATAAATTAACAATATAAGTTCAGTCTTACACAAGTAATATGTAATAGTTATCCCATGAGGACGCGGTGTGTCAGTGTAAGAGTTCGATTCCCCGCTAAGACACTGGAAAATTAGTAGATTTTTTCTACATAATCTTGAAAATTAGTCTCTATTCTTTCTAAATTTTGTTGTGTGTTCGACATTCCCGCCAAAATGTTCAAATGTTCCTGAACAAAAGAAAGCATGCAGAACAAAGAAACTCAAGGTAGGGTGATCTGGTAGGGGTGATTCAACTCAGATTTCCTCTGTTAGAACAAAAGAGTTGGGATGTAAATGTACAATTATAATGTCTACAAAATTTTGTAATTACCTGTTGAAGTTTATATTTATTTTCTTCATTAAAACCAGCTTTCTGATTGGCATGCTCCAATTGCTGCTGTAAAGACCCATGTGATTGACCCATATAACCTACCAAACAAACAAACAAATTATAAAAAGTTCTATAACATATTAAATCATGATAAATACAATGTATAACAGATTTTTTTTTCTAAAACTGGTGTATAATAAGTATAATGTTTATTTTTTAATGCATGTATTACAACTGACAGCAAATATCTGAAACCCTATCAAGTCTACCGGTACTTATTATTCACTTTCTTGCTTGCTTAAAGACTGTCTTCAAATATGTATTCAGTGGCCGTGACATTCTAGGCAGAACCACAGTTGATTTCTAGGTACAAAAATGTATTCTACTATTATCTTTAATGGAAAAAAAAACAAAAATAACTAAACAAAAATACCGAACTCCAAGGAAAATTCAAAATGGAAAGTCCTTTAACAAATGGCAAAAAAGCTCAAACACATCAAACCAATGAAAAACGACTTGGTACAGGCATTTCTTTTTGTAGAAAATGGTGGATTAAACCTGGTTTTATAGCTAGCTCAAACGGATATCACCAATACTATCTGCAATATTTATTCCAAATAAATGAATATGCATAACTGTAGAATTCTGATTCCCATCCTAATTTTTACGATAATGTTGTTTATATATAGAGCCAGAAAATTTAGATACAATCAATGGATGTTAACTCATTCTTAAAGGATATTTATTTAACACTGTAGTAAGATCTTTGAAAATTGTTTCGTCAGTACTAATATTTATTTTGTTATTGATCAATTAAAATATAACTGAATTTTTATATTGCCATAGATTTATGAAAACTTGTGGTCCTATATCTTGTCAAATTCATGTACTTATATTTTGGCATTGCACAAGGTAATGCTATTCTCTGACTGTTTATGACGTCTTTACACTAATACCCGTGAATGTGCACTAATTGATACTTTAGTCTTAGAAAAAATAATTTAATTATATAGGTGTCACTTGCTTTAAAATATCAGTACTTTGTGTCTTTTGTCTTTATGTTAAGTTGTTTTTTGTGTCGATCTGATTAGTCAGGCCATTTCTAACTGAGTTTTACAGTTTGTTGTTATGTTGTGCTGTATTACACCACTGTCCCAGGTTAGATAGTGGGTTGATCTCTCACTAACATGTTTAACCTTCCACATGCTATATGTACCTGTCCCTAGCCGGTAATTCAGTGGTTGTCATTGATTGCTGTCTGTCATATTTATTTTTCGTTTGTTGTTATGTCATAAATCAGGCCATTGGTTTTTCGTTTTAATTGTTTAACATTTTGTCATGTTGGGCCATTTCATATAATAATATATATACATGATATATATTCAAAAGCAGACTATAAAGTACGGGTTTGGCTCATGGTTGGAAGCGGACCAGTGACCTATAGTTGCTTACATCTGTTTTGTTTGGACTCTGTTGGATAGTTGTCTCATTGGCAATTGTACCATATCTCCCTTTTTTATTTTTATACTGATAAGTCTTGAAATAAGAAGTTTTGTCAATATTGAATTATACTTACCAGTTGGCTGTTGCATCCTGGGATATCCAGGGTAAGATTCTGGAATTTGTTTCGGTTGCTGGTGGGCGTAGTGGTTAGGATATGATGTAAATGCTGATTGTGATGCTGGGTAACTTTTACCGGGAGATTTATTTCCAGTGTAAACTGCTGTCTGTTGTTGTTGGTAAGTATGAACAGAAGGTTTACTGGTGTATGTCACCTGACTTGACGGGGTGTGTCCAGGATAGGAACTAGTCTCTGGAAATATAAATATTCATTATGATAACAATATTGAAATCTTATGTTCTATTATCAGATTTAGAATAACAAAACTAGTACTGTCAAAGAAATAATAACATAAAAATATCATATTGTTCCATGTTTTTGACAGATTCTTAAAAGCTCATACCATACTGGTATAATGAAAGTTCTACAAATCATTGTCTGACAGTGCATAATACTGCTTTTAAGACCAGTAGTATGTATTTTTCCCCTCCAAAATACAGCTAATGTTACTGATGTCATTAATATGGATTAATATAGTATCAAGTGTTACAACCTGTTTTTGTCCAGCCTGCGACATTTATGTCGCAAAAGCGAGACATAGCGTTCCTTGATTCCAGCGTTGGCAGCGTCAATGTTTAGGTTCAGTCTGTGGTTTATAACTTTGTCAAAACTTCATGGAATTTTATGAAATTTGGACAGAAGCTTGTTTATGACCAAATACAGTAACCATAGCAAAATTTTGACAATATTTATTTCCATTTTTCCATATTTTACCACTAACATTCAGATTCAGTCTGAGATTAAAATTTTTCAGTCATCAATAACTTTGTCAAACCTACATAGAATTTTATGAAATTCGGACAGAAGCTTGTTTATGACCAAAAGACAGTATCCAGAGCAAAATTTTTAAAATATTTATTTTCATTTTTCCGTATTTTACTGATAAATGGACTCCCTTTTTTAAGTCAACATTACACATTTACACTGATAGCAGCAATCGTAGGCGAGACACAGGGTTCCACAGAACACCTTACGAAATTTTTGTTAACAGTTATACAATAACCAACAAATGTTCAAATGAAAGAAAAAAAAACTTTTTGATAGATATATATATGTCACCTAAAATTTAACACAATTGAAAAAGAAATAAACTGCTTCGCTGAGCGCAGCTGGATACGCCTGCAGAGGTCCAACCCTGAACAGTTGGGGCAAAAATGGACACAATATTCAAGCTTGATACAGGTCTGAATTTGGATTGTAATTAAATATTTGATATATTATAGGTTTCTGAATAAATGTAGTCAAAGAAATTGAAATTGGTTATATGAAAGATTTCTTGCTGTTGTGCAATACACTGTGCTGTCGCGTAATACTTTGTAAATCTGTTGTCAGACTATAAACAAATAAAATCTTATAACTGGGAAACATAAATTGAAAATTTATAAAAATCAAAAGGGAGCTTACAAAAATAGATATAAACTATTTACCAAAGTTTCATAAAAAATTCTGAAGCATTTTTGAGTTATTGTCCAAAACCTGGAAAATCCCCCTTTTTGTAATGAGTAAAACCCCATAAATCGGAAACGTATAGTCTGAAATTTATAAAAATCAAAAGGGAGCTCATGTCGATAGAAATAAATAATTCACCAAAGTTTCTTGCAAATTGAGTTATTGTCTGAAAACTGGAAAATCCATCCTTTTTAATTGAAAAAAACCCCAAAACTCGGAAACGGAAAATCAGAAATTTATAAAAAACGAAAGGGAGCTCACGTCAATAGATATGAACAATTCACAAAAAGTTTCATGCAAATTGGCGAAATTGTTATTGAGTTATTGTCGGAAAACTGGAAAATCCCCCCTTTTTTAATGAATAAAACCTCAAAACTCGGAAATGGTAAATCTGTAATTTATAAAAAACGAAAGGGACCTCACATCAATAGATATAAACAATTCACCAAAGTTTCATGCATATTGGTTAAAACGTTTTTGAATTAATGTCCGACATGTTGAAGACGGACGGACGTAAACGGGCGTATAAAAAAGGATCAAAGACTAAGCTTGCACAGAATGCCTCTTAAACAATGTAGTATGGTCTGTATTGAACATTTAGTTGGTCCACTGTATTTTTCATTCTGGTACTTACTATAATCAGACTGTGTATGGTGTGGATAAGGGCTGTGTTGCTTGGGTGCCGTTGGTTGCATCATTTTTGACTCTGTGTACTGTTGATATACTGAAGTTGGCGGGGGTGATGGACTGTGTGGTCTCTTCATCGTCATTTGCTAAAAGGATAAAATCATAAAGCAATTGTGAATTTATACAGAAATTATTATTCCTATGATAAAGAGTCATGACTTTAATACTATGCTAAAGAAATTGAAATTAATCATTTATCTTGTTGAAAGAACAATAATTAATAGGACACAGACAAATGCTCTGGACACTTATTTGACAAAAATCTAAATCTTCTCCTTCTAGTGTTTACTATTGGAGACTTGCAAACCGTAAAAATATTTTCATATTCCACAATATCTCTATCGGCTATTCCAGAATTAAATGCAAGGGGGAATGGGATTTAAGATCTGATTACCAATAAAACAAAGTAATTCTTACAAAAATTTAAGGAAAATGCAACCACCCATATTTGATTAATTTGTGTGCCTCTCCCCCCACCCCAACTTGATAAATTTTGAAATTGCCATACAAAAAACGACTTGACTACTAAAAATTCCATGACAATACAACATATGGACAGGTTCTCAATTATCCCAAATTTTGAAAGTTTGTGCACTATGTGAATCGTGTTCAAAAATTCTGAACTTAAAGTATACATCTAAATGACTGTGAAAAAATCTAACTATAAAGAAATATTATATTGGTATTCCAAAAAATAAACCATGTAGAGAAACTTGAAATTGGACTACAGGTATGTGCCAGTCAATGAGTGGTCTGAGATATACTTACAGGGATCATTGGCTGTTGTGGTCTATAAAGTGTAGGTCTCCCAGACTGCATTGACAACATTGAATGACTCGACACTGGAATGTGAGTTTGGTAAGCTTGTTGGATATTCAACATTTCACTAAAAGTAAAAAATGCAAAATATGTGAAAATAATCTATAAAATTACTTACTTATTCAGTCCTCTTTGTGCTTTGACACACATAAGACTAGCCTTCAGAAAACTTAATTTAATTATTTGCAACAGAAAGAAATTTTCAGATAGAATTTTTCTGTAAGTTTTCTTTTACTGAGCAGTTGGTGATGATGATGGGAGTGTGTAATGTCATTGGCTGCCAGCAACTGGTTTCTCATGTAACAGAACAGGTGACCTTTACATTTAACTATTGGCAGTTCATCATAGACCAAAGGTCCCAGGAGCCTGTATTGTGTGCAGTTCATAGACAGATGGTCTAATGAGCCTGTATTACAGGTATACAATCATGCCCTGAATCACTTTTTCACATTTTAAGTAGTTTACTAAATCTTTATTCTCTATTTGTCAAATGTTTGTTGTTGTCTGCATTTCTGTTCGACTAAGTTACAGGATGTCAAAACTCAAATCATAATAAGTGACCTATAATTGCTTATATCTTCGTCATTTGGACACTGGTGGATAGTTGTCTCATTGGCAATCGAACCCCATCTCCTTATTTTTAAAGAGAACTGTAATATTAGACTATAGACCTGTTAATTCCTAAGTTATGCTTATAGAAGAAACAGATTCTTATTTTATATTACAGATTGCAGGCTAGAATATCTTTAAACCACGTATGAAATTGTAAATCTTTTCCCATTCCTTTTGTCTGCTCCATTCACAAAAAAAAAAAAAAAATAGAATTTGTAAAACAGATGAAATTTATCTGAAGATTCCCAAAATGACTTTGTTAAGGAAAATTTCAGTAATAAATATGTTTTTTATACTTAGCTTGCTGATTTGAGAAATAATTACTTTTGTTGCTCTTTAATCTGTGCTCTTTTTCTGGTTTCATCCTCCTGATGTAAAACTTTCTTTAGCTGAGAAAATAACTCATGCTTTTCTTGCTTCAGAGTTTCTAACTTCTTTTCCATGTTTTGTATCTACAAAATATGTTGACTGTTGACAAAAAGTTTATTTAGTAATGTTTATTTTGTGGCTCAGGATATATCTATACATATTAAACTATGATGTAATTTAGTTTCATGCTGTTGCTTTTACTGTATTGTCCATTATCTTTATGACAGAATGCCTGTGAGGATGATAAAAGAATACTTAAATCTTTCAAGTATGTGTAAATCTATTATTGATAAAAAAAAAATTTAAAAAGCCTCTAAAATCATAATCTCCCAAGATTTTTTCCTGTCCTATGATAGGTTTAAGACATCATCTTATCCTTATTTTGCACAAATTGTCATTTTTTTGGTAACTGTAAAATATTGACCACACAATTAATAGAATACTTCTAATCAATATGTGTGACCATATATATGATATCTAAGTTAGGTTCTAATCCAAAGTAAGATTCAAAAGTTTTTTTAGATCTTTGAAGTCTATTTTGATGTGACCATGAACTTTTTAATTTTGGTTTCAAATCGATTAAGATCTTTCTCTCATTACATGTGACCATATATCTATATAAAATTTGGTTCCAGTGTCAATTAAGATTCCTGGGTTATCATAAACAAGCCACTTGTCTTCACATATTTCGATCTTTAAACCCAGTTATTACGAATTTTTTACCTTGTATGTGTTACCCAAAACTTCTTAAGGATTTTCTCATACAATATTTCCAAGTTTAATCCCAATCCCAAAACAAAGTAGGCCCCAGAGTTATCATCCAAACACCTCTTATTTGCTATATATTGGGTCTAATCAAATTCAAAATATCTATGACATTGACACCTCATTTCCTCTCATGATAAGTGACCATATATTCACGTTTGGTTCCAATTCCAAAAATGGTCCTTGAGTTACCATAAAAAAGACATATTATATTTTGTTTTGGTTGATAGCAGGCATGGGGTAATCCTTATCAGTAATCAAAGTGATCATGTTGATAGCAAACCTCTTGGTTTGTGTGGGAATATTTGGAATTTTCCAACATGTCGTTTCAGAATGGTAACATTATCAGTCAAACCACTAATGTACATACAGGTATACCAAACTAAAAATTATTCATACTTGTTCCTTTGTCTGTTCTAAGGTTAAACTGTCTTCCTTTTCTTTTTTCTTCCTTAATTCCTGTTCCTTTCTCATTCTTTCTAATTGTTCATCCTGTTCTAATTCTGGGTATTCAAAAACAAAAACAAATCAACTTATGTTTTATCTATTAGTTGTAATTGGCATTTAACTAACTTTCATTAATTGCGAGTACTTTTATTTTTGTGTTTTGTGTCTATTGTTTTTATGTTAGTTGTTTTTGTGCCTTGTACTGATCCTTTGAGTTAAGCCCATTGCAACTGTCAGGTTTTTACAGTTTGTTCTTATGTTGTGTAGTTACATCCTTGTCCCAGGTTAGGGGAGGGTTGAGTGAGTTACATCCTTGTCCCAGGTTAGAGGAGGGTTGAGTGAGTTACATCCTTGTCCCAGGTTAGGGGAGGGTTGAGTGAGTAACATCATTGTCCCAGGTTAGACGAGGGTTAAGTGAGTTACATCCTTGTCCCAGGTTAGGGGAGGGTTGAGTGAGTTACATCGTTGTCCCAGGTTAGGGAAGGGTTGAGTGAGTTACATCCTTGTCCCAGGTTAGAGGAGGGTTGAGTGAGTTACATCCTTGTCCCAGGTTAGGGGAGGGTTGAGTGAGTTACATCCTTGTCCCAGGTAAGGGGAGGGTTGAATGAGTTACATCCTTGTCCCAGGTTAGGGGAGGGTTGAGTGAGTTACATCCTTGTCCCAAGTTAGGGGAGGGTTGAGTGAGATACATCCTTGTCCCAGGTATGGGGAGGGTTGAGTGAGATACATCCTTGTCCCAGGTTAGGGGAGGGTTGAGTGAGTTACATCCTTGTCCCAGGTTAGAGGAGGGTTGAGTGAGTTACATCCTTGTCCCAGGTTAGGGGAGGGTTGAGTGAGTTACAACCTTGTCCCAGGTATGGGGAGGGTTGAGTGAGTTACATCCTTGTCCCAGGTTAGGGGAGGGTTGAATGAGTTACATCCTTGTCTCAGGTTAGGGGAGGGTTGAGTGAGTTACATCCTTGTCTCAGGTTAGAGGAGGGTTGAATGAGTTACATCCTTGTCTCAGGTTAGGGGAGGGTTGAGTGAGTTACATCCTTGTCCCAGGTTAGGGGAGGGTTGAATGAGTTACATCCTTGTCCCAGGTTAGGGGAGGGTTGAGTGAGATACATCCTTGTCTCAGGTTAGGGGAGGGTTGGGTGAGTTACATCCTTGTCCCAGGTTAGGGGAGGGTTGAGTGAGTTACATCTATAGATGATAGTTAGGCAATGTGTATAAAGACAACTGTTCAGCCATTACATTTTATATACAACTAACGTATTTCCGCCCAAGGCGACGTCACTGACAATACGACGTCGACAATGGACAAGTACAATAGTACGGACGTTATGTTCCCGCGACAATCTCAACATACTGGGGCCGCGAAAAGTAAAAAATATCACTATTTTCTAAATAATCTCAATTATCCATTGATCAATCGTTTCACTGATATATTACTGTCCATCAATAAATAATAATACTTTGAAATTGTCTCTCGCGTTGTGTTTTTCTTTGAAATACTGAGTACATGAAATCATTTAAAACGGAAATTACATTTAGCAATTAAATTCAATTAATGTCACTCATGAAATAAGAATAAAATTCAACTTTGCACTAAAACGCGTAATTGTCTATCAATTACATCACTAATGGTCGTCTTTCACATCATTGGTGTATCCACTTCCGTATGGTCTCACGGGCTTTAAGACTTGCTTTTCGTCTCGGTCTGTTCTCCATATTTTCCTGCTGATCATCTATTGGAACGTTAGAATTGTTTGTCATCGTTTGTGTAACTTCTAATGGATATAGTTTTGCGATCGGTCTAGTTGTTTCCCCATTGTTGGTCCTTATTCGTGCAGATCTTACAAGTCCGTCGTTACCTCTCGCCAGTTCGGTTACGATCCCAATTTTCCAGTTTATGCGCGGAGATTCGTTGTGAATTTGCACGATGTCTCCTGTATTTATTAATTGTTCATTTTTTCCGGTAGTCCTATGAAATTCACGTAACGACGTAAGGTATTCGGATTTCCATCTTTTCCAGAAATGTTGAATCAATTGCGTTTGTCTTTGTACACTTTTATTAAGATCGTAATGTCCCATGTAAGTCGGGTCGGTGATGTTATCGATTTCTGGTTGTGGGTACGGTAATGTTGAAATGCGCCTTCCGTATAGTAGATGAGACGGTGTTAAAGCTTCACAGTCTTTGATATCGGACGATGGATAAGTAAGCGGTCTGTCGTTTAAGATAGTTTCTATTTCCGCAACAATTGTTTGTAATGTTTCCATGTTAACTTGCGATCGTCCAAGCACTTTTTTCAAACTTGTCTTCGTAAGAGCAATCAAGCGCTCCCAGAATCCACCATACCATGGTGCACGTTTCGGTATGAATCTCCACTCTACACCGTGTGTTGATAAAGTATCTTTTACTATATCCGATTCACATAATCTTTTTATTTCCTCAGATCCTGCAATGAATGTAGATGCATTGTCAGATACTAGAATTTTAGGCAGAGATTTACGGCTAACAAAGCGTCGAAATGCCTGAATAAATGAATGTTCGCTCATGTTTGGAACTACTTCGAGATGAACTGCTCTAGTCGATGCGCACGTAAATAAGCATATATACGCTTTCTTTAAAGTTCCTTCTTGATCCCTTACGTATAAAGCGCCTGTATAATCGACCCCTGTGACGGTAAATGGCGAGGCTTCCTGTACTCTTATTTTCGGAAGCGGTGGCGGGTCCGGTTTGCTGTAAGATTTTCCCATAACTTTGCGGCAAGTTACACACTTATTCAATAACTTCTTAATAAATTGTCGAAGTGTCGGTACCCAATACGATTGTCGTACAAAAGTTAGCGTAGCATTAAGTCCAGAATGGAGTGAACGTTCGTGTGCATCTATCACAATCAGTTTGGTAAGTGGATGATTCGCAGGTATAAGGTACGGAAATTTGGTATTCTCTGAAATCGGTGCATTGTGAATTCTTCCATTGCATCTCACAAAACCATCGTCATCTATGAAGAGTCCTAATTGTCTTATTCTTGGAAATTTCATTGTGTTTTTATTTCGTGTGTCCTTTAAACTTTTTATTTCGGCTGAATATGAAGATTCTTGGCAATCTAATATCCATGAACGCACCGCGGTATTTATATCATATGTCGTCAAAATTCCACCTTTTCTCCGATGTTTGGTATATAGGCAGTTAGATATGAACCGCTGAACGTAAGCGGTTACTCGAATCAATTTCCTGAAAGTCCCATATTTCGAAATGTCTATAACGTTACTAATACCATAGTGATCAGTATGAACTTCATTGTTTAGAAATTCCTCTTCGTCGTTTTCTCCTGTAATTGTCATTACCATTTTACTTGTGGGAGTTATTTCTGGCCATTTTGTGCGATCCGTTAACCAATTTGGTCCTTTTTTCCAAATGACACTATCGATGTATTGATCGGCGTTAATTCCTCGTGTTAAGAGATCGGCTGGATTGCATTCTGTTGGACAATATCTCCATTCATGTTGATTTGTAGATTCCGTTATTTCTCTCACTCGATTCGCAATAAATCGTTTTAACGGTTTCGATGATTTTAACCAGTGCAATACTATGCAGCTATCCGACCAGAAAACCACGTTTTTACATTCGAAAGTCGATTGTACATGTGACGCTAGTCTAGTTCCAATAACCGCGGCCATAAGTTCTAGTTGCGGTAATGTTAGGTTTTTCACTGGCGCTACTCTGCTTTTTGCCATCATTAACGCAGTTTCGGTTCCGTTGTTCAGATATGCGGTCGCTCCATACGCCTTTGGACTGGCATCGCAAAATACATGTAGTTCAAGTTGTTCCGAAGTAGAATTACCGGAGAAATAATATCTCGGAAAGACAATTTGTGTCGCTTTCTCTAAGTCGCTTGCTACATTAATCCAAGTAGCCTTAAAGTTTTCCGGAACTTGTTCATCCCAATCCAGTCCACTTTTCCATAGATCCTGTATTAGTGTCTTTGCTCTTATTGTTACCGGGCTGATTATTCCAAGTGGATCGTATATTTTCGACGAATGTTTCAAAATCTCCCTTTTTGTTACAATGTCTCGTATTGGAATATCACATTTCTGGTACATCAGATCATCGGATTTGCTATTCCATAACATACCAAGTACTTTTGTGTTTATGTCCATATCTAGTACATTTTCCGTCTTGGCTAGCTTGCGTATATTCTGACTGTTTGACGTCCACGATCGTAGGTTGAATCCGGCGTCTTTCATCATTGTTCTCGCTTCCTTATAATACGTATCAGCCTCATCCTCGTTCTGTAAACTTGTCAGAATGTTGTCCACGTACAAGTCTCTTTCCATCAATGTAGCTGTTTTACTGTTGTAACGTTGTAAATGTTTCAGTATTGTGGCGTTTAGTATAAACGGTGAACAAGTCGCTCCAAAAAAGACGGATTTGAACCTGTAAGTCTGTAAATAACTTGTTGGGTCGGATGGGTTACTTAGCCACAAGAAACGTGTAGCGTCTCGGTCATCCTCGTTTAATCCTACATGTAAAAAGGCTTTCTCAATATCCGTTGTTATGGCGACAGGGTTGGCTCTAAATCTCATCAGAATTTTTGTCAGGTCGTTTAGCTTCGGCGGTGTATCCAAGAGGCAGTCATTCAAGCTTTGCGAATTAGGCGACTGGCGACAACTGCAGTCGTAAACAATTCTGATAGGCGTAGTGCTTGATTCCTTCTGTACTGGATGATGAGGAATGTAGTGTAGTTTTTCTGAAGTTTCTGCTGTTTCATCCACCTTCTCTATGAATCCCCTACGTTCCTGTTCTTGTATGATGTTCCCGTACTTCTTTAACATATCTGGGTTTTGAGTAAGTCTTTTAATGACGTTTTCTGTCCTTCTCTTCATGACTGCTAAATTTGTAGGCAATTCATCATGATCCTGTTTCCATGGTAACCTAGCGAAATATTTATTTTCTCGGAACTCAATTGATCTGTCCTGATAGGCTTTAATATATGCATCACCGTCTTCGTCTACCTCCTTACTATTTATTCCTATTGATTCTAAATTCCAAAATCTCTCTAGATTGTATTCTTCAACTTTGTGTGATATTAGAACATTAAACATGCTAGTTTTCGACGTGTTAGTTTTCTTACCGTATGTAGGTCCCGAAAGCAAATATCCGATCTTGGATTTCACGGCGGTCGGACCGTTTCCCCGTACTATATGGTCTTCTACAATGTCCCAATAGTGATCTGCGCCTACTAACAACGATATTTCGAATGAATCTTGCTGTGTCATCGTGTGCGCTAACTTTAAACCACGCAAATAACCATTTTGTGTATCAATATTACGTATGTGATTCTGTAGAGGCATGGCTATCATCGGTACTATCAGTACTTTGATTGGCAATACGTGTCCTGCATCGGTTTTCAGATAGATTGTTGTCTTTTCTAGGTGTCTCGCGTTTTTCTCTTCATCTCCAAATGCCGATAAATGTATTATCTCTGTTCCCTCTATCTGTAATTTGAGTTTATTCGCTAAGTTCTGCGTTAAAAACGATCTTTGCGCTCCTTCGTCAAAAAGAATGTTTGTCTCGGTGTAGAGCTGATTCGACCCTACTTGTGCTACGGCGGTTTTCAAAAGTACATTTGAACGCGATTCTGTCGATTGTGAATACAAAATGGTAGTATCTTGTTCCGTTGTATGACTATCATTTACGAGGTGAACGTTTGTCGAATTTGAAGATAGTGGGTTTTGCGGGTTGCTGCTCTGATTATCTTTCGCGCGGAAATTCGTATGTGCTGAGTTACTACCCCCGTTTCTATGGCTTACCTCATGGACTGGTTTTATGCTATTTGTTAGACGTACATTACACAAGCTTGTATGGTGTTTCTTATTACAATGTCTACATGTGTGTTTAGATTTACATTCGTTTAGTCTGTGTTTACCAAGGCAATTAAAGCATAACTTATCACGTTTTACTATGTTCATACGGGATTCTGTGTCGGTTATTTTACTGCAATGAGTAGGTGCGTGTATTTCGTGACAGAAAACGCAAGGTCTAGTCTCAATATTCTTGTAAGATTTGGACTTCGGCGATTTCGCTCCGGCAAAGAAAGACGATGTTGTGGGCAAATTGTGTGTTGACTCTATCTCTTGTCCTGCGTCCATTATATCTATCTCGTCTAATATGCTTTTACGGAGGTCCCGTAATACCCAAGTTTTTGTTCTGTGTTCTCGCGCGAGATGTTTTCTGACTTCCCCGGGTAATTTGTTCATAATAATGGGAACAAGTAACGTGCCGTATGTTTCCTGTGTTTGACCCAAAGCTTCTAATCCCCTGACGTAACCTTCCATTTTATCGTAAAAACTTCGTAAGCTTGTTAACTGATTTCTAGGCGAAGGAATTTCTAATAATGCCTGCATGTATGCATTTATGATTTTATCTTGTTGACCGAACCTCTCTTTTAACAAATTTACGGCTTCATCGTAGTTTACATTTGTTAGTGCGAAACCTGCTATTGATCCTAGTGCTTCATGTTCTAGCTGTGCTTTCAAGTAATTAAATTTTTGTACATTTGTAAGTGACAGATTAAGATGTACGGCCGACTCATATGAGTCCCAGAAAGTTTGCCATTCTAAAATGTTGCCTGAGAAGGTTGGAAGCGAAAGTTTTGGTAGGCGGTGACTCTGATTACTAGTTGACGAAAATGTACTTTGTTGCGTGTTAAATGTGTGACTGGCTTGTACAGACGGGTTTTCAAAGGACTGTGCGTTGTGTGGGTTGGTTATGTTGTGCGTTGGAACAAACGGTATAGTTTCTGGATTTAACGTGTGAGTTGTAGTATGTGATTCAATATGACGGGACTGCGGGGTTTTGACATTTTGTATGAACTTACGTATGTGTCGAATCTTCGTTTCCATAGTCACTGAATATTCATCTGACTAAATAATCTCATTTTCCACATCATCCGGTTCTGTTAACTTAAGAATTTGTTCATTTAAGTCCTCAAACAATGTTTGTTTTTGCACAAGTTTTCCGAGCGTTGCAATGACTTCTTCTTCATCGAAATTCGTATTCTCCTTTGCTTCATCTAATCTGCGGAATAGTCTGGTAACAGCGCTTCTGTTCCCAGATCGAACTGATTTCAATTTTTCGAGATTCATTGGTCACGGTACCATAAATATAGATGATAGTTAGGCAATGTGTATAAAGACAACTGTTCAGCCATTACATTTTATATACAACTAACGTATTTCCGCCCAAGGCGACGTCACTGACAATACGACGTCGACAATGGACAAGTACAATAGTACAGACGTTATGTTCCCGCGACAATCTCAACAACATCCTTGTCCCAGGTTAGGGGAGGGTTGAGTGAGTTACATCGTTGTCCCAAGTTAGGGGAGGGTTGAGTGAGTTACATCCTTGTCCCAGGTTAGGGGAGGGTTGAGTGAGTTACATCCTTGTCCCAAGTTAGGGGAGGGTTGAGTGAGTTACATCCTTGTCCCAGGTTAGGGGAGGATTGAGTGAGTTACATCCTTGTCCCAGGTTAGGGGAGGGTTGAGTGAGTTACATCCTTGTCTCAGGTTAGGGGAGAGTTGAGTGAGTTACATCGTTGTCCCAAGTTAGGGGAGGGTTGAGCGAGTTACATCCTTGTCCCAGGTTAGGGGAGGGTTGAGTGAGTTACATCCTTGTCTCAGGTTAGGGGAAGGTTGAGTGAGTTACATCGTTGTCCCAAGTTAGGGGAGGGTTGAGTGAGTTACATCCTTGTCCCAGGTTAGGGGAGGGTTGAGTGAGTTACATCGTTGTCCCAAGTTAGGGGAGGGTTGAGTGAGTTACATCGTTGTCCCAAGTTAGGGGAGGATTGAGTGAGTTACATCCTTGTCCAAGGTTAGGGGATGGTTGAGTGAGTTACATCGTTGTCCCAAGTTAGGGGAGGGTTAAGTGAGTTACATCGTTGTCCCAAGTTAGGGGAGGGTTGAGTGAGTTACATCGTTGTCCCAAGTTAGGGGAGGATTGAGTGAGTTACATCCTTGTCCAAGGTTAGGGGATGGTTGAGTGAGTTACATCCTTGTCCCAGGTTAGGGGAGGGTTGAGTGAGTTACATCCTTGTCCAAGGTTAGGGGATGGTTGAGTGAGTTACATCCTTGTCCCAGGTTAGGGGATGGTTGAGTGAGTTACATCCTTGTCCCAGGTTAGAGGAGGGTTGAGTGAGTTACATCCTTGTCCCAGGTTAGGGGAGGGTTGAGTGAGTTACATCGTTGTACCAAGTTAAAGGAGGATTGGGTGCTCACAAACACGTTTAACCCTGCCAAACTCTTTATCCCTGTCCTTAGTCTGGAGCCTGTAGTACAGTGGTTGTCGTTGGTTTATGTCTGTCATATTTTTTTTTCTTATATTATTTTGTTATAATTATGCCATTACTTCTTTTGTTTTAATTCTTTCGTTATATTGTCTCATTGACAGATAATCCATATCGTCTTTTAATTCATAATTATCATGATTATAGAAGTATAAAAAGTATGGTGGCCATGGTGCTCCTCAATGTATCAGACTTTACATACATAAGAATGATAAATATGAATGTACCTGTTTGCAATTCAGTGTATTATTTTTCAAAGCATGTAAAAGCTGCAATGTACAGAAACATGAGAAAATATAAATAAGAAGATGTGGTATGAATGCCAATGAGACAACTCTCAATCCAAGTCACAATGTATAAAAAATCAAAAAATTTAAAAGCTAATACAATGGCAAATCACATTTCAATGAAAACAATGAAAAGCAAAAATATTGAACAAACCTTGTTTCTTTTTCTCTCTTTCTTTCATAATATGTTTTTTCAGTGCTGTATACATTGTTTTGGTCAGTTTAGGACGTTCTAGTACAGCACCTGGCATTTTGAAGAATCTTTATAGTGTCACAATTCTGAAAAAAAGTTCATTCAAGTATTATAGTCAAAACCTTAGGTTTGTAACCAGTGCTCATTACTTTAAATCTGTTCTTTTTCAAATCTTAAATACAAGTTTGGTCAAACAGTTGTTCATTTTTCAGATTACTTCTTTTGATGGTCTGTGATTCAGGTTTTATTCATTTAGGATTTTCATTTTTTTTCCTGTTCAGTTGTGATTATAAACAATAATTAATAGGTCTGCCTTATTGTGCCAACTTTAAATACATTTTTGGTCAAATAATTATTCCCTTTATGAGATAACCTCTTTCTAATGGTCTATTATTCAGGTTATTAGTTTCATTTTTGTTGTTGCAAAGAATCAAACAAGGCATATGCAGTCTTGCTCTATAGAGAATATTTTCTTAAACCACTGACCATGCTGACAGTGACAGGAAATTCTTGAAAAAACTTGTTTGACATTATATCATGATCTACAGATCTATATTCTGATATAAGCTATTTTAAACTTTAAGAATGATAAATGAAATATAGATGTTTAGAAATTATCAGACATTTAAAGCATCATTGATAATTATCTTGAAAGAGAGTCTCGGCTTTTCTTAATCTGTTAAAAAATAAATGGGGAATGTGTCCATGGGACACAGATGATGCCCCCGCTTGCATATAACGTTATAAAGGGACATAACTCAAGAACGGTAAAAGTGACACTACCCAAATTCGTACTTGATCTGAGTTTTGTGGTAATAAGCATTGTGTATAAGTTTCATAACATTTAGTTGAGGCAAACTTAAGTTAGAGAATGGAAACAAAAAATTCAGCAATTTTTCCATTTGTAAAGGGGCATAACTCTAGAACGGTAAAAGTGAAACCACCAAAATTCAAACTTGATCTGTCTTTTGTAGTAATAGGCATTATGTATAAGTTTCATAATATTTGGTTGAGGCAAACTTAAGTTAGAGAACGGAAATGAAAAATTCAGCAATTTTTCCATTTGTAAAGGGGCATTACTCTAGAAAGGTAAAAGTGACATCACCCAAATTCAAACTTGAAATGTGTTTTGTGGCAATAAGCTTTGTGTATAAGTTTCATAACATTTGGTTGAGGCAAACTTAAGTTAGAGAACGGCAACAAAAAACGAATTCAGCAATTTTTCCATTTATACTCTAGAACAGTAAAAGTGACGCCACCCAACTTCAAACTTGATCTGTGTTTTGTGGTAATAAGCATTGTGTATAAGTTTCATAACATTTGGTTGAGGCAAACTAAAGTTACAGAACTGAAACCAATTTCGGGACGTACGTACAGACGGACAAGGGTAAAACTTAATGCCCCCTCCACTACGGCAAGGGCATAAAAAAGAATTGACCTGGAGGATAAAAACAGAACCAACAGGGTTAAGGGGAACCAACAATCTTTTTCTGCATGGCCTAAGAATTCCAGTAAGCAGTTCTGTGCCTTTCAAGGTGTTCATAAATTCTGTGGTCTTCTTTTTGGGACTTACAGACATCATGTTTTATTTGACAGGTTGGAAACACATTCCCAAAGTTTCAGCCAATGTACCCAACTATAAGGTGTCTATGTGATTTTTTTCTGTAGCTTCAAGCAGTCTTGGTTGTTGTTTAAATAAAGTTCTATGAATTAACCTTTCCTTTAACATGTTTGAGTACAAAGAGAATATTAAAGTGTTTTATTCATGCTTCATCTTTTTTATTTGCATTCAATTTCATTGGCCTAGATACATGTATACATGATACATGTATACAATAGCTATGCATGGTTTTTACGCATTAATAAAGCCATCTTGCTAGAAAAATTAACATCCTCATTGTTTCAAATACTGTCAAAATGTATTAGCTAAAGCACCATCTATATTACAATGACATTGTGAATTGTTATTTAATAACTAAACATGCTAAAGCACTGGTCTTGGAACACTGGGTCATGTAAGACATGTAAGAAGTACATGCTGACTTGGCTGCCTTTGCTATACATGTACATGGCTCTGTACTGGTAAGTTTGTGTACTTGTTAATACATGTAATATTAACGCTGAGGAGGCTGTGAATTATCTTTGAGTCAAGGGTGTTCCTGCTGCTAGTTTGGATCTTTTTAAGCATGCTGAAGGTCCTCTCAATGTCAACTTTGGAATGTGAAATAGTGAGAATAACTTTGATGATTTGAAAGTTTATTAAATGTTGTTTTTTTTTTGCATCAAAACCTTCTGATCATCTGATTGATGTTTTGACAACAAAGTTCCACATTTTTATCAATGCTGGTCATGCTGATATTTACCTTTAATCATCCTTGATGTGTGTCATAAACAGAAGCCATATCGAGTAATTAATATCCTATCACCTATTGACTGTTCAATCAACTATTATCACTTGTTTATTTGCATCAGACCAGGGTCAAAATCTACACAAGTTGCATAATGTGAGTTACATAGAATATGTTCAATACACTTTTTACGTCTTCAACATGTTCAATAATAAATATTTGTTAAAAGCGTAGTACAACATGGTGTCAGAAAAAATTTCAATCTTGATACACAGGATTTTTATCCCTTAAACAGGAGGAGACCCCTGAAAACAGGATTGTCATACTCCTGATAAGTTTGTCACGAAATAGAAGTTCCATCATAATATAAGTTCAAAGTGGAAGAAATATTCTGTAATATTATATCCACTGGAACAAATATTACAGTTTGTGTTTCCTAACGGAATAAAGGGTATAGAATATGTGTTCCAACAGGAACAGATATTATGGCATTGCTCATAACAAAGTTTCCAGGGGAACTTCTGTTTGGTGGAACAAATATACATTGACAGGTTAACATGTACAGCATACATAGTTGATCCGCCTAACAGAAGTTCCCCTAGAAACTGTGTTATAAACAATGCAGTAATACATTGTAATATCTGTTCCTGTTGGAACACATATTCTATACATAATATCGGTACATTGTAGAATCCCTATGGGCTGTATTAAAATGGGGAGGGAAAACACAATTAATCCCAACAGAGTCCCAATTGTTGCTATACAGATCTGCTTTACAATTAGATTTTGGTTGACTTTGCGGTTTCTATGCTGTCATTATCTATCCTCGTATTATGTTTTTTTTTTGTGCTATTTAGAATGCATTATGTTGTCACAATTTCCATTGAAAAAGCATGCATAGTACGAAAATTCATATGACATACGGAATCATATGATCTGACTGATCTGACGATACCAAAGAGCATGATTCTTGTTAGAAAATCACATATTGTCTCCTCCAGGACTCAAACCCAGGACCTCTGTGTTACAAGTCAGAGCTCTTACCAATTAAGCTAAAGAAGTACTTCCCTAGATCAACTTCTAGCGGCTGGCTAAGTATCTTTTACTCAAGGGAAGCAATCCTGTTACAGGACTAATTCATAAATTAAATTATTGCCATATTGGTCCCAGTTTTTGTTGTTACTGTTTAATTTTTTTAATACACTGTGTGAAATGACAGTTTTTAGCTTTAAAACCATCATTCGACAATAAGCATGACAGTTTTTCTGTGGTGTAATGTAAATAATTAAAATAAACAGAATATTTACCACAGATTTTTTTGTTGATTTTTTCAACCGGAAGTGAAACTTTTTAAATTAAGTGGATCTTTTCCGAACTAAAAAAAATACTCATTACATCAGAAGGCAGGCCGTAAAGTCAAGTATATTGTCATTTTTGAAATAAAAAAATAATGATCGAAAATGCATAACAAATGAAATGCAAAATATAGATAGTACACATTGAAGAGTCTGACAAAGACATGATCGGGACCTTATTTGTTTTGGCTTGTTCTCTTCAAAAATGGATTTGAGACAACAGTTTCAATATTGCTCTTTTTGCAAAATAAGCCACAAACAGAAGAAGAAACATGTATATTCCAAGAAGCACCAATCAATAATTATGAGAATTCTTCAAAAGTTTTCTGGAAAGGTTGTCATTTGAACACCCGCGTAGAAGTGATAAAATAAATTATTGTTATTCATACTAAGTCTAATACTATTCATACTTTTTTTAGCTAAATTCACAGCCTGTGACACAGGCACTTATTTCTGAAAAAAAAATGCGACCTACATGTATATATCTTAATATAACACAAGGTTCCATCTTGCTTTTTAAAAAAAATGATACTCAGTCGCAAACTTTTGCTACCATGCAGTCCGGTAAATCCGCCCACATAAGGCTTTGATCGTATGTATTTCTGCTTAATTATATACAAATTGTATCAAATTTAATATAAATCGATTCACTGACAAATCAACTTTGAGTAGTTTATCTCATTTCCCCAAAAATATCTGAAATAAATTTTAAAATCAACCATGTCAACAAAACAAGTGGGTCATCCGTGTTTTTATCCGAAATGTGTTTGTCCGGTAAATCCACCCATGCGCAGTAAATATGTATGGTGGGTCAGTTTATTACAAAATTGTGAAAGGAAAAGGTATTCTATTTATTAATAGACCACTTATAACGAGATTCCAGATAATAAAAAAAAAAAATTCAAGTCAGAAATGAGTTTTGTAAGCAATAATATGATTATCATTAGCTTTAGGAACTGTATTATATATATTACTTGAAATTTTTCGTTATAAAGGATTTTTCTTTAAAATTTGACATGCAGTGATGATATGTACAGTTTCTATGAATAAAATAGCAGACGAAATATTCACGGAAGTGACAATTACGGAAGAAATGGGAGTGGGCGGGTTTACTGGACGGGCGGAATTACTGGACACTACTGTATTTTTTAATTTTGTGTCGTTTATCCCACTCAAGGTCAATGTGAACCTGTTCAAATATCTGTGTATACACCACAAAATGTACTCTTGAGTGCAGATGAACCTGTGCATCTGGAAACATTTAAAGGCATACAAAGCCCTAGATAAATAAAATTCAAATGCACTTTATTTAACTTAACTGGATTTTGCTGTCCACTCTTTCTTAGTCTTTCAGAAGATGATAAAATAAACAAACACCTGAGTTTCACTTGATACAGTCTACTCAGTTTAATTTTATTATTGTAGTACCGTGAAATTGCATATGTGTATAACAATACAATTTAGTACGGTTTTAATTTACTGATAACTGAATCGATATTTATACCAATAAAAACAATATTCAAAGATCTAATTACAGTGTTGCATTGGTAACCTTTTAGCATGTTTAGAAAAAGTTTATTTAAAGGATTGATAAGTTTACCTGGATCGTATATAAATTTCTGGGCTCCGCACAACAACACTGTAAAATTTGAAAAGTGCTATTCCGTCTGAAATAATATTTTTACAGGTACAGCCAAACTTGCAAACCAAATCTGTGTATCTATGGAAGAATTTAGTAGAGGTTTTAAGTAATTTGTGGTAACGAAATCCCTGACTTAATAATTTACCAGTAATAATTAAATTACGCTCATTGAAATCCAAAATGTCACTACAGACATGGGCATAGCAAAGGAGTGGGATATATAAACACCGTAAGACGGTGCCAAAGTAATATCACCATCCAAAAAAGGAAAATTAACAATAGGGAAAGAAAACTCATCCCTTTTGTCGTAAAATTTTGTGTAGATTTTCTGGTGTAAAACTGAAATGTCTAAATCTAGGAAAGGATCCTTGTTGCTGTTAATATACCATAATTATTACACAAAAGGGAGGTTCTCGAAAATTCTTTCCTAACTTTGTTTATTTTGGCACCTAAATTTAAAGCATTAGTCAAACAATACTATAAGTCTTTTATGAAGTCTACGCATCTTCCAAATTTATATGCACATTGCATTGACAAACAATAATACAGTGTACAAAATCCACAGTCAACCATGCTAGTTTCATTATAAATTTTATTTCTTTCAGGTGAAATTTGCTAAAACTACATTAGACAGTCCCGATATACAAGACTCTGGTTATGAGGTTGGTGCAAAGTTTTGGTGTTATTTCTGTGTGGATGAATTTGACAAACATCTACAGCTAGATGTGTTTATGGTGAAATTTGGAGGATTGTTGGAACACATTGCGCTGTAAGTTCAAGAATATTCTGTATGGTGCACTTTTTATATACATCTAGTTGTTTACATACATACCAGTAATGTAATAAGAACATCTTCACATCTTCAAATTATTTCAACGATAATGGTAATTATTAACACTCTAGGAGTGGGGGATTTATTGCAATAACCGTGTCCCTCTGTCTGTCCAGCAAATATTTTCATCACAATTTTCTCAGAATTTACTGGATAGAATGACCTTATATTTGGTCAGCATCTTGACAATGATGAGTTGTAATGTGTGAGCATTTTTAAGATCTTTCAAATACCTTCTAGATTTGTTTGCCAATACTTTGAATTTTTCACAATCATGACAATGTTGAATGAACTTAAAAATTTTCGTCACACATTTGTCCAATACTTCTGAACAGAATGACTTTAGATTTGATCAGCAGCTGAACAGTGATGAGTTGCAAATTTGATGCACTTTTCAGATCTGGCAGACACCCTCTTCCTCTTATTTTCATACTTTGAATTACAATTGGAGGTATGCTTTTCACAATAATGCATGCATTCTTGTTAAATTTGTTACTACTGATTCTATTTGAGTATCAATATGAGTTCAGAATTGTTACGGATATACTTATATAAATAAATTCTCAAATCTGTCAAAAATATATGCATGATATGTGAATTGATAATTGAAATCCATGATGATTATTTGTTTTGTTACAGAGATACCCACAGAACATCTGTTTACATGTTTCTACGACAACATAGATTAGATGAAGAGAAGCAACAAGCTGTACAGTTTTTACTGTCACAAGATGCTCTAATAAAGTAAGCAGAAGATATTATTTATTTGAAAATAACTGATGTTGAAGTAAAGTTAAAAAATAGAACACAAACAAATTAGGTTATTGTCTTATCAAACATTTTTCACAGCAAAACAGGTATTTTCGTATTTTATTTATTTTAATGTTATAAAATTTTTATACAATGTGAGGATTAATGACACTTTTTTTGACAGTGAGCTTCCCTTTTCTGTATTGACAATTTTCCTTTTTGTCATTCCAGAGTTAACATAAACTTGCTTGTTGTAAAATGGATACATTTTTCTGAATTTCATACCATAATGTGAAATATTTACACAATGTTAAGATTGATAAAAGTTAGTTCTCTTTAGGTAAAAGGTTTATTGATTGTATGGTGACTGATATATAATGTATTTACTACATATTTGTGTATTGTACATTTCAAAGGGCAAACCAAAACAACTAAATACATTTCAGGAATTTTGCATACTCGAATGACTTTGAATAATTATATTTAGGTTCACTTCTCAAGAACCCCGTGGATATATTTCAATGATATTATAATGCAACCAATTTAAAACCTAATAGAAGATTGAAGAGCTGATTTAACAATAAAACATCAGAAGCCAGACAATCTTAGGAACCAAACCTATGGAAGAATATATGACTTTGTAGAAAAGTTTGTTTTTAAGATATAAGATGTGCATTATTTCTCTTCCAGATTTAAAGAAACTACAGTTTTGAAGTTAAGAAAGTATGAAGAAAGAAAAAGACAAACTCTTAAAATGGTATAGTATTTAGTTAGCATGTAGAATAAAGTTCACCTCAAAAAAGTATTGTGGATTGTTTGAGTACCCCCAGCATCTGTGTGTATTTTGACAGCAGATTGTTTGGAATTGATTTATGTGAAAAGTTTTAAAATCTTGATGGATGACAGCCACATAACTCAAATCCCTTCATTGAATTGATGTATGTGAAAAAATTTAAAATCTTGATGGGATGACAGCCACAAAACTGAAATCCCTTCATTGAATTGATGTATGAGAAAAGTTTTAAAATCTTGATGGGATGACAGCCACAAAACTCAAATCCCTTCATTGAATTGATGTATGTGAAAAAATTTAAAATCTTGATGGGATGACAGCCACAAAACTCAAATCCCTTCATTGAATTGATTTATGAGAAAAGTTTTAAAATCTTGATGGGATGACAGCCACAAAACTCAAATCCCTTCACTGAATTGATGTATGTGAAAAAAATTAAAATCTTGATGGGATGACAGCCACAAAACTCAAATCCCTTCATTGAATTGATTTATGAGAAAAGTTTTAAAATCTTGATGGGATGACAGCCACAAAACTCAAATCCCTTCATTGAATTGATGTATGTGAAAAAATTTAAAATCTTGATGGGATGACAGCCACAAAACTCAAATCCCTTCATTGAATTGATTTATGAGAAAAGTTTTAAAATCTTGATGGGATGACAGCCACAAAACTCAAATCCCTTCATTGAATTGATTTATGAGAAAAGTTTTAAAATCTTGATGGGATGACAGCCACATAACTCAAATCCCTTCATTGAATTTGATTTATGTTTTTAACTGTAAATTTTTTTGGAAAATTTTAATAAAATTAGTTTACTTAATTTTTTATACGACCGCGAAAATTTTTGCGGTCGTATATTGGTATCACGTCGTCGTCGTCCAAAGACTTTTGGTTTCCGGACAATAACTTTAGTATTAGTAAATAGAAATCTATGAAATTTAAACATAAGGTTTATAACCACAAAAGGAAGGTTGGGATTGATTTTGGGGGTTATGGTCCCAACAGTTAAGGAATTAGGGGCCAAAAAGGGACCCAAATAAGCATTTTTCTAGTTTCATGACAATAACTTGTGGAACAGTGTATGGATCTCTCTGAAATTATACTACAAGTTTCCATACCACAAAGGGATGGTTAAGATTGGCTTAGGGGGGTTATGGCTCAAACCGTTTAGGAATAAGGGGCAAAAAAGTGAGAAAAAACAAGGGTGTCCTTGGACAATTACTTAAGTACAAATTACAGTGTAAGGGAGGTAATTCAAACAAAACTTTGAATTACCTCCCTTACACTGCTTTTAAATTATGTATTTAAAGAAATGTTGTATTGTCTAGAGGTGATTAGCTGTCAATTCATTTATAGAAGTTGATTAAGGTAAATTAATTTTAGCTATGATTATGTATGTCATTTTCTATTTTAAGACTTTAATGATGTATTTAAATGGGTTATTATGGTTGCAAACTACATTGGAAATTTGAATTGAGATTAAAAAAATTTGGAAAAAGAAGGGGGGTAAAAAAAAAAACAGCATAGTGTATTGCAGAAAAGCAAAAAATTGAATATAAATTCAAATCATATAACCAATTCTAAGTTCTTTGACTACAGTTATTCTGTGTCAGAAACCTATTATGTGTCAAATATTGAATTAAAATCCAAATTCAGACCTCTATCAAGCGTGAATATTGTGTCCATTTTTGCCCCAACTGTTCAGGGTTGGACCTCTACGGTCGTATCCAGCTGTGCTCGGCGAAGCAATTTATTGTTATTGAAAAAAATTGCCTTTTCAGTGCAGCTTTCTTATAAATATAAAGTCAAAATTCATAGAAATTATGCACTGAACTCTTCTTATCTTTATGTCAGTGATTTCAATCACTAATTTTATTTTTAGGAATCTAAACACATAGAAGAGGAAGATAACAGAAGGAGAATGATGTGCCATGAATTCATGTCTGAGGTCTGTCTGTCTGTTGCCTGTATCCATTTTGTAAAAATAATTGGTTTGGTCTATACTAAATATATATGTTATAGCGGATGAATTCCTAAAAAGGATACCATATTTGAGAGCATAATTTTAATTGTTGTCATCCAGTGGTTCATTTTTTAAGACTAAAAATGGTACAGCAGTTGAAATGGATAACAAAATGATAAAATGAGAAAGATAATATGGTGTTGTTTTGCATTGTTGACATTGATTGATGTCTTGTAACCAAAAAAGAGAAAATACATAAAAATAAAAAATCTACAAAAATACCATTTTTCCTCAATCCATGAAAATTTATTCCCACAGTATTTGTTTTCCTGTAGTTATTTAAAAACATTACCAGCAGATTTAGATGCTTGATTTGTCAACAAAAGATTACATGATATCTTTAAAATTGGTTTTGTTCAGTGCCAAGATTGCATTCCAATATGCAAACAACTGCAGGGCTTGTTTTAAAGACTGTGCCTTGTGTATATTATTTGAATGATTTCATAGTATTACATGGACCATCAGATGTTAAAAAGTTAGAGGATTACATTTGTCATCAAGAATTACAAAATTAGAAATTTTTATTGATTTACTGTTAAGTCTAGCAATATTATCTTTGTGGAAGTGTTTTTAGTGTATTTAGTCACTTTTTATCATCATTATGTCGAAGCTTGGTAGCCTTGGTTTAAGTTTAAGCTAAGGGCTATTCCAGAAAAAAATGTATGGGGGGGTTGGAAGGCAGTTTTTGTCAGCACCCACAACCCAGACAATTGTAATGGAGAATCATAGTGCATTATAGTGTGAAAAGTTGCTCGAAAAGTTGCTCTGATACCCATCACCCATGTATTATTAATATATAGTGCCTTCCAACCCCCCCATACATTTTTTTCTGGAATAGCCCTAAGTATAGATAGTTTTTCATTCAGTTTCTCCCTACAAAAACTGGATACAGATATTTAGGAAATGATCCTAATTTAGTGTACTCTTATTTTCTGTAACCATAAATTTAGCAAATACTAGTATAACATTATGTAGCAATTTATTTAATCAATTACTGGCTTTTTAGCTTTAGTCTTTCTATTTCAATGAAAAGGACAAATCAATGAATACACAAAATTAACTTTATAAAGGAATAAACTTGAATTAAGGCTATTCAATACATATGTATATTAATTCACAAAAGCCTTTTTTTGTGAATTAAATGAACATATCTTTGCTGGTGACATTACATTTTCCTGAATTTAAAATAGCCACAGTTAGACAGAAACAATAAAACAAGCTCTAGAAGTAATGAACCCAGAAGTGTTCCAAATGTCCAGAGGAAGGCAACTTTGTCAGCACATGGTGATGGACTGACTTTTATTGGAACTTCAGTGAGTATTGTTAAAATCAATTTACATGTATTAAAATTTTGAGGTTTTACGAAAGATAAAGGTAACAAATGAAAACAGCTTTGTGTAGAATGAAAAAGAAAATGACTATTACTGAATCAAAGATGGCAGAGCATATTTTTGAAGAAAGGGCAATAAGCATCATTCTAAAAGAAGGATATTTATGGTAGGTTTCATTGTCTCTCTCTGATGCCACTAGATTTGTATCTTTTTAAAACATTATATTAAGTATGTTAATCTTTTGATAAAAAAAAAAATTGATTTAGAGATGATCTCGCAGGTGTCTTTAAAGTTTTCTCACCACCAAATCATTTTATTTGTAAATTGACATTATTAAAAGATTTATAAACAAAGAAATTGATATATATATATATAAACACTTTCATTGTAATAAAAATATAGATCGCTGTATTTATTTTTCAAGAAATATGAATACTGCTATATAACTGATTGATTTGTAGAATTATCCTCTGATTATCTCCCCCTGAATTGTACTCGCTTAAGTTATCTCCATTGGCAAGATTAATATATAAATAAGTCTGTAATTCTGATGTATTTCTTAAATGAATGTCTGATCAGGAAAAGAATTAAGCAATTGCACTGCCAAGAAAAAAAAATCTCAGATTTGTCTTTATAAAAATTATAAACAGTATAAACATAAACTGATAAAATAGATGCTCAGGTTAACATTGTCAGTGTGAAATGTTGATATTTCTTTTAACAATGACAGAATTTAGGGGAAGCTGAAGACAATGTTCATACAGATGCTCTACCACCATGGCTTCAAGGAGAGGGAGACACACATAACAGAAGTGAAATTGGTCCTACCATAGAGGATTATAATAAACATTGTAAGTATTATAGATGATAATGGTCCTACTATAGAAGATTATAATATACATTGTAAGTATTATAAATAATAATGGTCCTACCATAGAAGATTATAATAAACATTGTAAGTATTATAGATGATAATGGTCCTACTATAGAAGATTATAATAAACATTGTAAGTATTATAAATGATAATGGTCCTAGCATAGAGGATTATAATATACATTGTAAGTATTATAAATAATAATGGTCCTACCATAGAAGATTATAATAAACATTGTAAGTATTATAGATGATAATGGTCCTACCATAGAAGATTATAATAAACATTGTAAGTATTATAGATGATAATGGTCCTACTATAGAAGATTATAATAAACATTGTAAGTATTATAAATAATAATGGTCCTACCATAGAAGATTATAATAAACATTGTAAGTATTATAGATGATAATGGTCCTACTATAAAGGATTATAATATACATTGTAAGTATTATAAATAATAATGGTCCTACCATAGAAGATTATAATATACATTGTAAGTATTATAAATGATAATGGTCCTACCATAGAGGATTATAATAAACATTGTACCCGGTAAGTATTATATGTAAGTATTATAAATAATAATGGTCCTACCATAGAGGATTATAATATACATTGTAAGTATTATAAATAATAATGGTCCTACCATAGAGGATTATAATATACATTGTAAGTATTATAAATAATAATGGTCCTACCATAGAAGATTATAATATACATTGTAAGAATTATAAATAATAATGGTCCTACTATAGAAGATTATAATAAACATTGTAAGTATTATAAATGATAATGGTCCTACCATAGAAGATTATAATATACATTGTAAGTATTATAAATGATAATGGTCCTACCATAGAGGATTATAATAAACATTGTACCCGGTAAGTATTATATGTAAGTATTATAAATAATAATGGTCCTACCATAGAGGATTATAATATACATTGTAAGTATTATAAATAATAATGGTCCTACCATAGAAGATTATAATAAACATTGTAAGTATTATAAATGATAATGGTCCTACCATAGAAGATTATAATATACATTGTAAGTATTATAAATGATAATGGTCCTACCATAGAGGATTGTAATAAACATTGTACCCGGTAAGTATTATATGTAAGTATTATAAATAATAATGGTCCTACCATAGAGGATTATAATATACATTGTAAGTATTATAAATAATAATGGTCCTACCATAGAGGATTATAATATACATTGTAAGTATTATAAATAATAATGGTCCTACCATAGAAGATTATAATATACATTGTAAGAATTATAAATAATAATGGTCCTACTATAGAAGATTATAATAAACATTGTAAGTATTATAAATGATAATGGTCCTACCATAGAAGATTATAATATACATTGTAAGTATTATAAATGATAATGGTCCTACCATAGAGGATTATAATAAACATTGTACCCGGTAAGTATTATATGTAAGTATTATAAATAATAATGGTCCTACCATAGAGGATTATAATATACATTGTAAGTATTATAAATAATAATGGTCCTACCATAGAAGATTATAATAAACATTGTACCCGGTAAGTATTATATGTAAGTATTATAAATAATAATGGTCCTACCATAGAAGATTATAATATACATTGTAAGAATTATAAATAATAATGGTCCTACTATAGAAGATTATAATAAACATTGTAAGTATTATAAATAATAATGGTCCTAGCATAGAAGATTATAATAAACATTGTAAGTATTATATGTAAGTATTAAAAATAATAATGGTCCTACCATAGAGGATTATAATAAACATTGTAAGTATTATATATAAGTATTATAAATAATAATGGTCCTACGGACACTGCAGATTTGTTGGGTCAGATTTGTTACAAGAGAGAGTTGAACAGCAACAAAAATAAACTTAATCTTGCCATAAAGTTGTGAACCTGTGACTTATTTAAAGGTTCATTAATTAATAAAGGTGTATGTCTTTACTCATGATATAGTTAAGGAAGCTTACTAATTAATTGTTCTCAATGTTTTAATTTGCAGTAGAAAAAGAGAAAACCAGAAAATTACCAGCAGGTAGAGTAGGTGCCAAGTTTGACCGATCTGGTTCTTTATCATCACAGTGGTTACCATCATTTGGGAGAGTATGGAATACAGGGAGGAGACAACAATCTGAGTAGGTCCATCCGTCCGTACGTCCCAAAATTGGTTTCCGTTCTCTAACTTGAGTTTGCCTCAACCAAATGTTATGAAACTTATACACAAAACACAGATCAAGTTTGAATTTTGGTGGGGCTACTTTAACCGTTCTAGAGTTATGCCCCTTTATAAATGAAAAAATTGCAAAATTTTTATTTTCTTCTAAATATGAAGTAATTTTTAAAATTGGAATTATCTTCCTTTGTCCATGATTATAGTTGAATCAACTACAATCAATGCTTTATACAATGCAATGTTTAATTTTGACTTCCACTGTTAAAACACAGATCAAGTTTGAATTTTGGTGAGGTCACTTTAACCGTTCTAGAGTTATGCCCCTTTATAAATGAAAAAATTGCAAAATTTTTATTTTCTACTAAATATGAAGTAATTTTTAAAATTGGATTTATCTTCCTTTGTCCATGATTATAGTTGAATCAACTACAATCAATGCTTTATACAATGCAATGTTTAATTTTGACTTCCACTGTTAAAACACAGATCAAGTTGAATTTGGGTAGTGTCACTTTAACCATTCTTGAGTTATGCCCCTTTATAAATTGAAAGATTGCAAAAATTTAAGTTTCCATTCTGTAACTTAAGTTTGCCCCAACCAAACATTATGAAAACTATACACAATATTCATTACCACAAAACTAAGATCAAGCACAAATTTTTTGTTTCCGTTTTCTAACTTTAGTTTGCCTCAACCAAATGTTATGAAACTTATACACAATGCTTATTACTTTATAATACAGATTACGCACGAAATTTGGTAGCGACACTTTTACCATTCTTGAGTTATGTCCCTTTATAAACATAAAAATTGCTGAATTTTTTTTTAGTTTGTCTCAACCAAATGTTATAAAACTTATACACAACTGTTCTAGAGTTATGCGTGTTTACAAATAGAAAAATTGCTGAATTTTTAGTTTCTGTTCCCATCTTAAGTTAGCCTCAACCAAATGTTATGAGACTTACACACAATGCTTATTACCACAAAACTCAGATCAAGTTAAAATTTGGGTAGCGTCACTTTTACCGTTCTTCTGTTATGTCCCTTTATAACTATATGATATGCAAGAGGGGACATCATCTGTGTCCACATGTGGACACTATCCACATTTATTTTATACATAACTCCTTCAAAACAGCTTGACAGAATTCAACCAAATTTTCAAAGATTTTTCTACCTGCATAAATGTTCAACTATAATTTTATTAGTTTGCTAATGTAAGTCCTTGAAAATAGATTGACAGTATTCCACCACTTGCACTGATTCTTCTACAAAATATGAAGTTGTCCTGCTATTTGAATATTTTATCTGAGTGATTTTTGGGGTTTCCCATACCAAAAAATGGACGTTGTTTTTTCTGTTTATATTATTATTTTACATCATGCTATAAAGTAGTTTAGGGGTGGGGGGGGGGGGGGGGGTATTTAGTTTTTGTCTCTGGATGCTAGATAACTCCAATACTTTATATTGGATTGCAACCATACTTGGATATATGATCACATACATAAAGAGAGGAAGGTCACTATTAATTTTGAGGTTACAAGGTCGAAAGTTAAGGTCATAGTTACTATAAAAAAAAGCAGATTAAACCAAGGGGACATTCAAAAGTTATGTCAAAGAAACTGACAACACCATGTCAATAATGAAAAAAGATGAAAAGACAAACAAGTCTACAAAACACAACATAGAAAACTAGACTGAGAAACACAGACCCACCACTGGAAACCAGGGGTGATCCTAATGGACTGAAATTTGTGCAGAAAAGTGTTTTCAAGATGCTTAATACAATACTACATATCCCATTGCAACTTCACTTGTGTATATGGTCACATATGAAAAATGGAAAATCCCTGTATATTTTGATGTCAGTCTAAAAATAGATTTGTGCAAAAAAATATATGTCTAAAATCATAGCTAGGAATCAAACCTTAAAGTAAACAGAAAAAAAACTATGCCATCAGGTCACTATAATCTTTTTTTCACTTTATATTGGGGTGTAGGACATGAGAGTTTATTCACTACTACCTAGTTCTTTATTTGGGGGCGAAAGGCTACCCATGTCTTCCTTGGAGACTCACACATTTTTAACTGAATCTTTTAAACAGATAAGTATGCATGGTTTATAAAAGAACAATAACGTTTTAGTAAATGGGTCAAACTTTTCCACTATGAGCTGTGCACATACTTTTTTTTTATGATGAAAAATTGCAATTTGAAAATTTACCTGCCACTTGCCTGAAGTTCATTTTGGCTAATTGACCTGTGACCTTGGTGCAATCTCAAGAAAAGACAGCTGGTCTTTAGATCTAGAATACAGGTTATTTCTGATGGAACAGAGATTTGACTCCTATTGTGTGAGAACAGATTTGTTGGGCTGGATGGATATTGATGAAACTTTACTTTACCTTATTTGCTTTCAGGATATTCTTCAGGAAAGAATTAGGCATGTCAAACACCACAACTGATATACACAACAAGTACGATGTCAGTGACGAGAAGACTGTTAATAACACTGAATTATCAGTTAACATTAGACCATATGTAAAGAAGAAACGAGTTTGTGAAACAGTCACAAGCAATGAAACAGAGAGACAATCAAGTTCTGAATTACAACATCTTCACCATTCTTATCAAAATACAAGCAATGAAATGGAGAGACAGTCGAGTTATGATCTACAAAATCATCACTATTCTTATCAGGCTACAGGGACACATATCCAACCATACGTGAGATCCAATGGAACTATGAACAATTTACCTTATAATAATTATAATATGCCAAACATACAGAACATTCAAAATTCAGGACAGGTTTATAATACTTTAGGTCAAGGTGTACCTTTGTATGGAGTAAATAATGAACATGAATTTTACAACTTGATAGAACAGAATAGAACTGATATACCAATTAACTACGAAACAACAACTAATGGTAGACAGCCTTCAAGTACTGCATCAATGCCATATACTCAGTGAAAAATATGTCGTCATATTATAAACATTGTATACTTAATTATGCTGTATTTGTTAACAGAATTGAAATCACAGGAAATAAAACATCTATTTCACTTCAATGCTGACACAATGAAATGTGTTGCCTGCTTTACTTATCATTATTGAACTTATGTTGAAAGCCTGTAATATGAGGGTTTTACCACAAGTACACTTAAAATTAACATAACTAATGATCCAAATGAGTTCAAGGTTATATCAACCCTGCCAAACAGACATTGTACACCTTAGAATCATTCCATACACCTAATATAGTTGACCTACAGCTTAAAGTATCTAAGAAACAGACTTAAACTGGAAAATAGAACATTAACCTATGAACTACAATGTATGACAATGATATCAAAGTCAGATGAAACCTGGCAGCCAGACATTTGCACTTTACAATCATTCCATACACCAAATATAATTGACATATTGCTTACAGTATCTAAGAAACGGACCTAATCACATAACTTGATTACTGATCCATGAAATGATGTCGAAGTCAGGTCTGGGGAACCCTGTCTGACAGACATGTAGACCTTGCAAAGAACCCATATTCCAAATTTAGTTATATTATTACTTTTAATAAGTGATAAATTCACATGACAAAAAATTTTTTTAAAAATTTCAAGCAGTTGCTGAACCAAGAAAATGAGGTCAAGGACAATGGATATATGATAAACAGAAACTCGGTAACATAAGGTATGAAGCCTCCAGGTCTTTTACCCTCTTAAATACACAAAAAATGTATAAAGCTTAATATAAATATTTTACGTGGCAGTAGGATTGTAATCCCTATGTCTCACATTCTGCAACTTTCAGCACAGGTGAGACAAAAATCAGTAAGAGAACAACATGTTTTGTAGGTTTTTGTCCATTTTTTTTTTTTTTTAATTGATACTTTTTGGTGTGTTATGGTTCATAATTTTGTTGTTGGCTTTTTTTTTTACTAATAAGGCATGTATTTGTACATGGTACTATGAGATTTTTTGTTCATGTCTATAGTGATTCCATAAGGCAGTGGCACAAAAAGTATAAAGATATCCAGGTATAGAATGAATTATACAATTGTTTCAAAACTTAACAAAACTTTATAGAACAATTGGTTTTAAATTGAGATTTAGAAAGTAATGTAAAATAAAAGAGATGTGGAATGATTGCCAATGTGAAAACTATCCACCAGACCAAATGACGTAGATGTTATCAACTACAAGTCACTGTACAACAATGAGCAAAACCCATACTACATAGCAAGCTATAATAGGATCCGTCATGACAATATGTCAAACAAATCAATCAAGAAAACCAACAGCCTGATTTATGTACAAAACAGCAACCACATAATTACAGGTGTCTGACTTACTGTATCAAACATGACATCAAATAACTTTGCATATCAAAGTTTCAGAAGAGATATGGCACCATTCTATGATATACAGACCAACAGTGTAGAGAAAAGATCAATATTGTTTATTTACTTTTATAGTTTTTATGTCGACATTAGTTCATCAACAGAATCATCTGTCCCTACAATCTATACTGTTAAATTTAGTTTAAACAAGGTGAACCAACACTTGAAGTGGTATTTGGGCGGTTGGGTAATAGTGGGTGGATACCGAAAGGTATTCACAGTTGTCTTTCACTAGATAAGTAAAATAAAGCGATATTAAAGACAACAACACCCATCAATTACCGCATGGTAAGAGTTTATTCTGGTGGGTGATGTTGTCTTTATTATCGTTTTAGTTAAATTTAGTGACAGGATTTTATGTACCACAATTTCTATATTTGAATAGGTAATACTTTACTCCCTAAAAGTGGGAAAATACCAAAGGGGCAACCAAAACCAAAATTTGATTAAAAACAGAAAAAATCAAGACTATTATAGCTGACTATGTGGTATGGGTTTTGCTCATTGTTGAAGGTGACAGTGACCTATAGTTGATAACTTCTATGTCATTTGGTCTCTGGTGGAGAGTTGTCTCTTTGGCAACAACACGAACTAGAGATTGTGCAACAAGAAGTCCAACAAAACCCAGATGTGAACTCATGTGCTCCAAAGGGTTCAGCAGTTCCAACAACATGAACCCCACCAAAACCCAGGTGTTCCAGAAAGTTCAGCAGTTCCTGCAACATTACCCTACCAAAACCCAGGTGTTCCAGAAGGTTAAGCAGTTCCTGCAACATTACCCTACCAAAACCCAGGTGTTCCAGAAGGTTCAGCAGTTCCTGCAACATGAACCCCACCAAAACCCAGGTGTTTCAGAAGGTTCAGCAGTTCCTGCAACATGAACCCCACCAAAACCCAGGTGTTCCAGAAGGTTCAGCAGTTCCTGCAACATGAACCCCACCAAAACCCAGGTGTGAACTCAGGTGCTCAAGAAGGTTTTAACTAGTGACACCTGTTGTGTTACTCATTTTAATCCTGTTGATTAAATATATTTGGTGATGAAGCATCACACAATATCTGATTGTTAATTGTCTTTTGACTAACACTAAGACATCACCAAGTCATTTACCATTGGTACATGTAAGCTTGGCAGATATTTATCAAATATCCATAAACATGAATATAACGCAACCACAAGCTTCACATGGCAAACTAATAAAAGAACAACTAAGACTTTAATTGTACAGATCTTTTACTGTAAAATACAATAACAAAATTAATATATATAATAAAAAGAAGTAAAACTTTAATGCCATATAAAAAATGTATATCACAGAATATAAGGATTAGTATAAAATCTGTTAATATGATATTGCTAAACCAAGCAAAAAAAAATATAGCAAAAAGTTATTCATTACATCATTACATCTTGAATATAAACTAGATAGCACATTTAGGTTATTCTATAAACCTCTTGTTTACAGGGAGTTACATTTAAGTATCCCCTGATAAAGAAATTTAACAGATGAGCCATAATGAACAATGCTTTCTTACAAAATATCACTAGAACATATTATTCATAAAAAAATTACTTCATAAATGAATAATAGATGTGGGATATAGTCAATGAGACAGCAACTGAGCAATACAAATAACCAAATACATTTAAAGGGCAACATAGTCATCAACAATTGACAGGAATATACAATATGTGAAGCTCTAAACTTTAAAAAATAAAAAGTTGTGACTAAATTTTTACAAGTATCAAAGATCTACCATAAACATTAATTTTTAATATCAATAAGGTTGTTGTGCTCCACCAATAGCTGTTTTGTTCTAACTTGGTGCCTTGACCATGGGCTATAGTACAGGTACAGGTGCTGTTGACAACTATTTTTATTAACTATACAGATAGCAATTTATAGAAACAATCTTATTTAACTTTAAAGCCACACAAACCTGCATTCACCAGTTAATAGGAAAATGGGATGGGTGAAGGGGCTCTATTTTAATTTTTCCAGGAACTACTTAAAGCTCCTCAGGATTAATTCAAATAAAAGGAGACTCAATTCTTTTTTATTCAAGAACAATTCTCTGAATATCTACTAAAAACAAAAAGTTTACTGTTGATTTCTTAGTTGTGAGGTATGGAGAATTCAGATAACAGGAGAATTCTATCTACAAAGAACTTAAATATTTTTTAGACAAAATTGGCACATTGATTGAATATTTTGGACAGGAGGGGATGAAAATCTACAAATTAACTTTGAATAGCAATGTTTTAAAAATTTACGTTCCAAATCAGTTACTGATTGATACAGACATACAGTATTTGAACAACTCAATGAAACCATGTACATATGTTTATTGATAGCTCGATGAAAGACAACATTTAAATGCATCTTTTAAAATTGGACAATAACAGTTGACAAAAATAAAAGTTTATAGAACAGATTTCCATATGGAGATCCTTTATAAACATTTGTGATGATTGCACAATATAATTGAACGCCTTAATGATCTTAATTACAGAGGTCGGTTGAAAACAAAACTTAACGACAAAAGAGATGATTTCAGTTTCCCAATTGTGAACTTTCCATTTCTATGTAGCAACATTCCAGCAGCGCCTGCATATGGAGTATATATCTCTCAGTTGATTCGTTATTCCAGGGCTTGTATTTCCTATCAAGATTTCCTTGATAGAGGGTTGCTACTCACAAAGAAGATTTTAAACCATGAGTTCCAAGTGGTGAAGTTGAAATCATCCCTTCATAAATTTTACGGCCGCCATCATGAGTTGGTTGACAGTTATTGAATATCTGTTTCACCGATGACAACAGATATGTTCCAATTGTCGTAACTACAATCCTGGCCACATTTCCCTCCGAATGTGACCTACTGAATTAGACTTATCACCAGGTTTGTGCTTACATGAGCAACACGACGGGTGCCACATGTGGAGCAGGATCTGCTTACCCTTCAGAAGCACATGAGATCACCCCCAGTATTGGGTAGGGTTCGTGTTCCTCAGTCTTTAGTTTTCTATGTTGTGTTTTGTGTACTGTTGTTTGTCTGTTTTTCTTTTTCTTTTTTAGCAATGACATTGTCATTTGTTTTTGACTTGTGAGTTTGAATGTCCCTTTGGTATCTTTCACCTCTCTTTTAATTACTGAATTTAACCAAATGTTTTCACCTTTATAATTTGGAAATGTTATAAATCTGAGCAGTAACACAAAGTTAGTTATGAATTAAATGCTTCTTTTATGTAGTTTTATTGGGTTAATATATATTAATTGACTGAAGCATATTTGGTATGAAGCTGAAAATGTGTACATGGTCAATCTATAATTTATAAACTACACGGGAAAAAAATAATCAAATTGAATTAGTATTATTCCATTTTTTTGCTTAAACCAAGGAATTTTCTGTTAAATAAAGCACTTTGTTCATTTTATTTTATATATAGATATCACTAAGCATTGTTTATAAGGTTGTCATAGAGTGCATTTGCAGTCATGAATGTTGTTTTTTATTTGGACATTAAACATTATTTATAATCACCACTTATTGTTGTCTTATCTAGGAATTGTAATTACCAATGTGTAAAATGTTGATCCAGATAAAGTTGTATAGACCTTTAATAACTGCCCTCAAAGTTGTATTCATTAACAATTATTAATCCTCTAAAATCTATATTTGAATGTAGGCTATTTCTACTTGATATTCTTTATAGAAACAATCTGTCCAGATGAAATGTTTCAGGTGGATTTTTCTACATTCAAACATTTTAATCAAGAGACTCAGATCCAACCAGTCTTACTTTTCTACAAAAGAGTGACTGTTTAATATTTCACAGTGACTAATCTTATATGGAAAAGTCAGCACATTGAATCGGTCAGATGTCAGAACAATGTAACATCATCATATGTTAAAAGAATTTTACAAAAATTATTAAGTTTACAAAATGTTTCTGTTTTAAAAATAAATTATTGCATATAATGAACCAGCTGTTTGACAACCAAATGAATCTTTAATGTCAGATCTTGGCTCTTTTCTATAAATGCTGAGTAACTTTATATGATCAGCAACAAGTTCTTTGTTGTCTCTCAAAGAAATTATAGTCTATCAGGAAACTACTGCCTAAAATTATAATCTTATCCTGTACGTGCAGATCTTTGAGAACTGAAAATATAAAATTATTATTCCAATGAAATAATTACAATTCAAAAGATTATATTATTAATCATTAAGTCATGTAAAAAAGTTTAAACCTTATTTCCATGTCAGCTGGATAACACCTTGTACTAAAAATCCTAGATTATAATATCTGTAAAAATCAAAGTGCTTCTGAATGGTAAAGATTACATTCATTTGTAGTGGAACCTAAAAACTAAGCATTTGAAGGCAATCCTGAGTTGGAGATCTCTTCCTGTGTCCATAAATGTCACCTTACCATGACATATTATTCTGATTGCCAGCCGACCAGTCTTTTTTTCTCACTCATAAATACTGTGTGCTTAGCTGAGAAGCAGCAAATAACAATTTTCAGGTCTGGTTTGACCTGGCAGGGGTTCAAATCCATGGACAGTATTGCACTGGATTCAAGCACGAGACCACTGAGCAGTTCATGTATAGGATGTACAGAATGTTGTGTTTAATGCACTTTGATTTTGTTTATTTTATCTCAAAAGAATTGATAAAGTCTGGAAAACTATCAAGCCAGCCACATAAGTGTTTTGCTTGCATCAATGCAACCTTTATGCCAATAAAAAAACAATACCAAATAGAAATTCAATTTCAAATGCTAATATAACATTGAGGAAAAAAAAACAGTGAGTAAGGAGATGATGTGGTATTAGATTAATATAGACCCTTAAAGGACACCATATATGGTGAACTATATGAGAAATCAATCTCATGAAATAACCATTTTGTAGTTACATTGCTGTCTCATGTAAGTATCCCCCACATCGCATTCTAATTAAAAAAAACATCATAGGAACAGTAATTAATAGTGGATTTAGTTATCCATATACTTTAACAGGTTAATTGTGAAATAACTTTTCACATAAGTAACCATGGGAAATTCCCTTACTACCTTTCCCATTCTATAGAATTACTAATACATACATTTAATTGTGTATTCATTTTCAGTACCACAGAAATCTTTACAGTTTCCTGAACAGTTCTTTGTAATCTCTGCTACTGGTTCACCTCTCTCTGTTATCTATCAACAATAATCTTAACTAAATGTAAATTCACAAATTTCTGGATGCATTTATTACGGCTATTTTTGAACAACGGACAAAAATATGATTAAATTTTTTACAATTTAAAAAAAATATGCATATAAATAAGGCTTTCACAATTTAAATGTTAGTTTTTATTTTTGCCTAACCTACCACATCGCAATTTTCACAATTATAAAAATCATTACTAAAATTTCTAAGCTATAGTATATATAATTTGTAATTCTAATATAAATAACAAACAGCAAATAAAATTGTTAATTTTTTACCAATTAACCATCTGGTGTAGTTTAATAAAACATTGAGTTCAACAAAGTCTTACAGGTCAAAAGTAAAATATATCATCTTGTTAACTCCAAAGCAGATTGTTTAACATCAAAGAAATCGATCTCTTTCCTTGTTGCTGTTATGAACTAATAAATGTGAAATTATCATGATCTGCTCAACCTTCCAGATCTCATCTGAGTTCACCTTCAGTTCTTTGAAAAGTTTTTGCTTTAGTTTTGTATGTAGAATATTTTGAATATCTCAGAGTCTGGTTTATGTTTGTCCTTGAAGCACTTCGTTAATCAGTTATTAGAGTAAAGGAATTTACATGTACTCATGGTTTATACATTGGGTAATGTCCGAGGCTTAGATAAAACACATTTACCAATCAGACATTGTTTTTTGCTTAATAACCGGTTGTGAGTCACACATAAACAGGACTACATGCAATATAAAGTAGAAGAACAGTAACTGCTTACCCTTCCAGAGCACCTGAGTTCACAAGTAACCATAAGGAACTCACTTATTACCTTTCACATTTTTTGTTAAACCAGACACTGAGTATCAAAAAATCTGTAGGTTTTCACCATTTGTTTTGCATAAAAAGCTGTATGTATGTATATGTACATATTATATTATTATATTTTGAGTTATTAAGAGGCATCAGGGGAGATTAGTATTGTATTCTAAACTTATTTACCCTCTTTAAATAAAGAAATTATTATATATTATATTATTATTATTATTATCCCTGGTTTTTGGTGGAGTTAATGTTGCTCATTCTTTAGTTTTCGGTGTAGCGTTTTGTGGACTGTTGCTGGTCTTATCAACTTTTCTCAAATGACCAAGGTGTTGTCGGTTTTTTTTTTTGACTACAGGTTTTTTATTCCCCCTTTATGTCTCTTTACATTTTTTTTCTTCATATTTTGTGAACTTTTTAAACCTACAATTAGCAATAAATTGAATTCTCCAAAATATTTAACTAAACCTTTTCAATAATATACCATTACAACACAATACCAATGATATCCATGTATATACATGTAATAGGCTATTGGCAATTGTCATTTTCTCCAGATTTTATATTGCTTATATAGATTCTACCACTACATCAAGTGTGATACAATATTTCTACACTGGTGAGAGTTAAATTTTCGAATTTAAAAGCGAGGCTTGCTGAGCTTTTTAAATATTTTAAATGTAACTGTTGAGAGTGGAGAAATATTGGCTTTTTCATGAAGAACTGAGATCAAGCACACACATTGATTATTAAAAAAATTATCAACAGGTAGGTAAAAGTATAAATCAGGTAAAAATTATAGAAAACAAATTATCCCTCTTCAATATAAAACTCTTCAATGTTTACCACTTTATCTGCAAGGTCACTTTAGATTATAGATTTAATAAAAAAAAATTCTTGTAATAGTAATAACAACTCAACAATAGATATTGAGTTATTACATAGTGATATTATTATCTTCTGATTACCAGTTAAATACTATTAAATTATTAAAAGGCAAATGTCACTCTTAGGACTTACAGGAAAGCTCTTAGGACTTACAGGAAAGCTCTAAAAATTGGTGTATGGAAATATTCTGTAAGTAAATAATTTTTCCATAAGCAGAAAAGATATACATCTTTCAAATAAAAGTGTAACAGGCTAATTTGTTTTCTCTAAATAGTTAACGCCAGGCAATATCTTTTTGTAAATATATATAAAAATAACTTAAAAAAAAAAAAAAATTAGTATAATATCAACATTTTAAATTTTTTTTAATTGTATGGTTACAAAAGAACAAAGGATTGGCTATTTTTCCATAATCACAATCAGGGTTACTTGTCTTTTGTTCTTCACTCCCAAGTTATCCTTCTATATAAAGGAAACCCCAAACTATGAAAATGTTGCAATAGCAAACTTTAATGACTGATAAAACAAAAACAATATGTATCCTACGAATATTAATGCATATCAAATTGTCATTATCCCAGGGATGAGACTATGATATAAAATACCTGTGTGGATATATATGAACATTGACAGCAAGTTACCTGTATTCATATATTAGGACATTGGCAGCATGTTACCTGTTTTCATATATTAGGACATTGGCAGCATGTTACCTGTATTCATATATTTGGACATTGGCAGCATGTTACCTGTATTCATATATTAGGACATTGGCAGCATGTTACCTGTATTCATATATTAGGACATTGGCAGCATGTTACCTGTATTCATATATTAGGACATTGGCAGCATGTTACCTGTTTTCATATATTAGGACATTGGCAGCATGTTACCTGTATTCATATATTAGGACATTGGCAGCATGTTACCTGTATTCATATATTAGGACATTGGCAGCATGTTACCTGTATTCATATACTGGGATATTGGCATCAACTTACCTGTATGGATACACTAGCACACAGTTTGCATAAAAAACAGCTGAAACTAATCCTGAATAAGATTCTGTCATCATCACTAGTTATATAATACCCTGGACAGCAACAAAAACTTCGACTGAAAATAAATAAAGTACATGTAGTTATATAATACCCTGGACAGCAACAAAAACTTCGACTGAAAATAAATAAAGTACATGTAGTTATATAATACCCTGGACAGCAACAAAAACTTCGACTGAAAATAAATATGGTACATGTAGTTATATAATATCCTGGACAGCAACAAAAACTTTGAATGAAAATAAATATAGTACATATAATCTTTTTTTCTGGAATAGCCCTTAGATAGGTTCTGTCCTTATCATTGATCTGAATTTCGTCCCCTTATCATATTGCAGATTCAAAAGGGATTGCACCACTTATTCAACCAGACTTGGAAAATATGTTAATAAAATATTGATTTGACAGTGCCATCAAGTTTGTTATATGTTGAAAATTAGTAAATGTATATACTTAGAAAGATCACATCATAATGAACCTGAGTACTAAGTTTTAATTTGATGGTCGAAACCCTAATTTGGCATATATTGTTAAAAGTTCACATCACAATGAATTTGTATTTTCAAGTTGATGTAACCCAAACTTCATGGTCAACTACCTTAAACCAAACTTTTTCTGAAATTGTTTAACAATTCACAGCCGTATAATACTGTTACTCATCCCTTATTTTATTGATTTTGTATTTACATTGTATCATAGATCAAATTTATTTGTTCATTGTAAGTTCACTTGTGTTAATATGTCTTTTGATTGAGTTAAGCCATTTCAATTGATATTTTATAGTGTGTCTTTCTATGTTGTGATGTTACACTATTGTTTCAGAAAAAGGGTGAAGGTTTGGTACCATTAAAACGTTTAAACCCGCTGCAATTGTTTGCACCTGTCCTAAGTCAGGAATCTGATGTTCAGTAGTTGTCGTTTGTTGATGTGGTTCATAAGTGTTTCTCGTTTTTTATATACATTAGACCGTTGGTTTTCCCGTTTGAATGGTTTTACACTAGTAATTTTTTGGGGCCCTTTATAGCTTGCTGTGCGGTGTGAGCCAAGGCTCCCCGTTGAAGACCGTACTTTGACCTATAATGGTTTACTTTTATAAATTGTGACTTGGATGGAGAGTTGTCTCATTGGCACTCATACCACATCTTTTATATCTATTTAACCTGATACAGGACAGAAGGATGCAAAAAGCAGAAAACAATATGACCCTTCTATTATAGGCGGGCAAAAATATCCAAATTTACTAAAATATAATAATGTGATAATTGTGAGTCTTAAGTTAATTTCTCAAAAATTATGTTTTCTTACATATATATAACTAACAAACTCGAGATTTTCCAGAAGTTATAAAGCTATTTATAGACATGGGAGTTTCCAAGTACCAGATAGTAACAATACACCTTATCGTTATTTGGAATTCTGTCCCGGTTGACCCGAGAATCTGTCCCGCTTGAACTATTGACGTCATATAACAATCACTTTTCCATTGTGGCGTCAGATATTTTGTATTATGATGTCAAAATTTTATGGGAACCTTTGTGATGTCCAGTAATGGCGGACAAATAGCGATAAGGTGTATTCACTGAGAGCTTTTACTTGATATGAAATTTTTTGTGAATAATTACAAGACATATGAATTTCAGGATACATGAGACTTAAAAGTTTCTAAAAATTTGAAAAAAAATAAACTGAATCATACATGGAAAGAGATTTGTGTACAAAAAAAAAGACAGAATGCCAAAATACAAACATTTTCTTTCATTGTATCCTTCAAAAACTTTTACATTTTATTTGAAACTTACTCTTCACTTATTGTTGCTATATGTGTCCCTGGAGGACTTTCTATATTTAATTCCTGAACTTACTCTTCACTTATTGTTGCTATATGTGTCCCTGGAGGACTTTCTATATTTAATTCCTGAACTTACTCTTCACTTATTGTTGCTATATGTGTTCCTGGAGGACTTTCTATATTTAATTCCTGAACTTACTCTTCACTTATTGTTGCTATATGTGTTCCTGGAGGACTTTCTATATTTAATTCCTGAACTTACTCTTCACTTATTGTTGCTATATGTGTTCCTGGAGGACTTTCTATATTTAATTCCTGAACTTACTCTTCACTTATTGTTGCTATATGTGTTCCTGGAGGACTTTCTATATTTAATTCCTGAACTTACTCTTCACTTATTGTTGCTATATGTGTTCCTGGAGGACTTTCTATATTTAATTCCTGAACTTACTCTTCACTTATTGTTGCTATATGTGTCCCTGGAGGACTTTCTATATTTAATTCCTGTATACAACAACACCACCACCAACAAATACCACATGGACATCGTAGAGGGCGCTGAAGTCGAAGTACTTCCTGTTGATCTGCATTACTTAGTTTCATTACAAAGCCTCTATTTGCACCAAGACACTGTCTTGCATAGCATTCTGAAACTATCAATACATTTACCGTTAATCATGTTGTTAGGGACTACAATCCATTTTCTGGTGATGGTTTGTTTTTTTGGACTATAGAATACAAGACTCTGAGTACTTTGTTAATTTTTATTTAACATCGTGAAAAGATTCTTAGAGCGAATGAGATAGTCCTAAAATGAGTTTTTCTCTTTGTTGAAGGCTGTACAGTGACCTGTAATTGTAACATCAATGTCATTTGAACTACACATATGTTGGATAATTGTCTCATAGGCAATCGTAACACATCTCCAATTATTTTTATATTTTAAATTCAGAAATTATGTGTGCATTTATTATTGAAATTTTTGAAGAATGGATAAAAATGTGAGATTAATTATTGAGATTTCAGGAAAAATCTGCATACTACTATGTATCAGATATCAGAATCTAAGTTCTTATAATTGTGATTCTCACCCAGTTGCATAAAATTCACATTAATACAAATCTTGAAATAATTTCTGAATTCACAGTACTAAATGTTTGATAACTAAGTTTGATGGATTGATTGTTGGTAAAGAGCTTAAAATTCAGCTACAAATATTTCAGGAAAAAATATTAAAGATCACTGCAAGTTGAAATGTGCTATTTCGACAGATTGATTCCATAATTACCTTCTTGTGCATATAAAAAATGGTCTTCTTCCTTTGTTCCATCATAAAGACTGTATCTGGCTGGTCTCTGCCAACAACAGAATACTGAAAATAGATATAACTTCATTGATTGACACATCAAATCTAATCATTCAATAAATCAGGGTCAAATCTAAAGACCTTATCAAACACCAATTGAGGGATATTCACAACATTATCTGTGAATTAGACATCTTCCCAAATATTATAATGGACTAACTCTAAATCAGCCCAAGGATAAAAGTGACCATTGCCATTTTTTATACCTTTATGTAAGAATTTTCACAATAATCTTCATACTAAAACTAACAAACAAGAGGACTTTTTCATTCATATTGTTATTTTCCTTTTCCTTGGTTGTGATGTTATCTCCTTATTGAGCGCACACAATAGTTTTTTTCCTTTATCTTTTTAAAATATATGAACTGACATAAATATACATTTTCAATTAATGAATTAACATTTAACACAGAAGATATGGTCATGCTGAGCTATAAAGGTTCAGTAACTTTGTGATGTGGGTTGTTTTGACACAAGATTTGGGCTTATTTTCATACCTGTAACAATTTTTCCTTACCTTCTGTTGAATCAAGATGCTGATGTATTTTGATCTCTGTAATATTCTGTAGCTCCTTTAGTCCAGGAGGTAGTTCTGTAATTGGAGGAAGTTGTTTTTCATCCCTTGGCTGTGTGGTTACAGCAGTCATATTCTTTTTGTATCATTGACTACAACTGAAATAAAAAGTATCACATTTCAATACAATCTGTCTAAACCAGTCTCTGCATAAACTGGAATCCTATGTTAAAGAACTTTTATACCAGAAAATAAGGTGAAGGACCAATATTGGAAGCAATTATGTTTATTAAATCTACTGTACTTGATATCTAAGATAGGCATATCATGATATCACTAAAGGCAAATGGTTAGTTCCTTAGTCTACTAACTTTATCATGTTTATAGTTAAATTATATACAAATTTGCACTACTTTTTCCAATGTAAGCTATGACTCAATAAATGAATGATTACGTATCCTCTTTTTCAAATTAAGGGATACCACCCAGTCTTTTATACAGAATTTAAAATTAAATTCGTTAAAATTTACCAAAACCAGTGTTTGTAAAAATTTCCAGGACTAATGGAAATATGTATGGTCATACAAAATGGTATACATTCAACTGGCACATATGGAACAAATAACATTTTCATTGTCCATGAAATTATAATTTTATGAATAGTAAAGACAACTGATAAAGACAGACAATTAAACACTCTATATATTAAAGTAATGTAGTCAGGAGAAATTCAATAAAGAAGAAAATTTGACTTATTTAATACGTATACATGCATTCATCAAGTAAAAAAAATCTGAAGGTCTAAGGGTATAACTCTGCCTCCAAAATAATTTAACGACACCTATATACATGTACAAGTAAATAAAAAAAAACAAGTGTAAGTATAATCCCTAACTTTATAATAAATATAAATAATTAATGGATGTTTTAATAGATTCCTTACATTTACAGGTAGGTGTAGTTTCCATAAACAAACTTACAGTTTAATGTATATTTTTTACTTGTTTATATATATTGATTATCGATGATTGAAAATTATAATCAATTATTCACTGTTAATTGAAAATTTTAAATAATCAATTGAATTTAGATTTATATGATAAATTGATAATCCGAACATCACTTCAAATGGTTATGTTGACTATACAGTATGAGTTTTACTCATTGTTGATGGTCATGTAACCTCCATTTCACTTGGACTCTGGTTGATGGTTGTCTCAATGGCAAATATACCACATCTTCTTATTTTCATATGGTATGAAATCATTTGTAGAACTGACCTTTATTGTCAAACACCCATGGCCATTTTTCGCTACTGTTAGTATTAAATGATACAATAAATTTTTAATATCATTTGTCAAATCTTATTTCTTACAATGTAGCTACCGATCACTTCAAACACGAGTTAAATGTTATGTCTGACATACACTTTGTCTCTATTTGTCAGCCATAACAGGACATTACAGACGTTCTCAGATATTTTGTCATCACAAGAAAAAATTCTGACACCACAGACATTTAACAGAAGAAAGGTGTGACATCAATAGGGGGTCAGACTTATAATCTGAAACCAAGCATAAAAAAATTAGCGAGTGCAAAGATTTTATTTTAATTACATTGCATTCATCTACAATAACAATGAATAAAGTCTTTACAAATGTACATGTATTTGCATGTATGTAAACAGACATTCTCAGCATAGACATTAACATGGTCATGATGGTTAACAGAAATGGAATCTTACAATATTTGTTCAAACAGTATAGGATTTAGTTGGGATCCCATTACAACGCATCCCTCTTTAAAACTTTTGAACAATCTGGTGTAAGAGATAATTAGACCTGGTAAAATGTGTCCGGGCGGACACATATTAGTAGTATAAAAAATCCATGGTTACAGAATTTACTAGTATTTTTAGTCGGATGTCAGTAATTTATGTCCCCAGACTTATTTTCCTAGGAATTCATGTCCATGTCATTAATATTCCTAGGTAAAAACGTGCATGTCCATTAATTTACTTGGAAAAATTGTAAGGAAAGAAATCATTTACATGTAAACAATGGCATTTGCAATTGTAATGCTTAAATATTGTATAACAGTTACAAGTGCTTCAATCTTTTAATAAAATTTATGTCCCCAGACAAATTTCCCTAGGAATTCATGCCCATGTCATTAATATTCCTAGGTAAAAACATCCATGTCCATTATTTTTCTAGGAAAAATTGTAAGGAAAGAAATAATTTATATGTAAACAATGGAATTTGAAATTGCTATGTTTTAATATTGTATGGTTTGTTTTTATAATTTAAAAACCAGAAATTACACAGCTGAGATTTATCCCCAGACAAATTTTCCTAGAAATTCATGTCTATGTCATTAATATTCCTAGGTAAAAACTTCCATGTCATTCATTATTATGAAAATAAGTGCCAGACATATTTTACTAGCTATGGACAGTTTTTCCTATGAAATTTTAGCCTGGGACTAAGAAAATTATGGTCATGGACTTGATTACCTAGGAAAAGAAGTCCAGGGACAAATTTACTATCGGAACGAATTTACTGTTACACTGGCATTTCTACAGTATACAATGGTATACAAGTAATATGATAATAATGAGACAACTATCAACCACAGTTAAAATGAAGTGGTAGTAAGCAGTTACAGGTTTATATGAAGACTAGATCCAACCTGTAAAGCTTCATGGAGGGTGACTTTTGCTGGTCCATCAGAATGTCTGACTAACAGACTATCAGACCATGGTACTTCTGGACTGTTTCAGATCATAGATGAGTTTCCAATTTCGATTTATGATTATGAACTTCCCTGGTTGACCAATGTCATTCAGGGAAAAAACATGTCATAGGACATTGTGACATGAAAGCATTTGCCTGATGATGTCCAATTTTTCCAGGAAAAAGCACCGGTTTGAAAATCATGTGTAGCTATGCTCCTTGGAGAAGACGTTACTAACTTGTAAAACTTGTGTCTGATCCATTTGTCATTTTGTATTTTTGAACAATAAAATATGTTTAAACTAGCTATGCTCCTTGTCAGTAGTTCAAGTGTCGCAGATTTCCAAATAGCAATAAGATCCATTCAACTAGAATTTAAATGTTAATCGTCTTACAGGGTACCCTGAGTATCCTGTCATTTAGTAAACAACTTATAAAAAGGGTGAACTAGTAAAACCAGTGTTAACTGTATAAGTATGTATGTATGGTCACATCATAGGTTTTCGTACTATGCATGCTTTTTACACTTGTATGCAAATTTGTCCGCCATTACTTAAAATCACAGCTAGTTAACATAAAATTTGACATCACAATTTAAAAAAATTGACGTCATAATTAAAAAGTGATTGTTGCTTGATGTCCGAAAGGTTATTCGGAGACAGATCTTAGGTCATTTGGAGACAAAATTCAGCTAAATACCAAAAATGTAAATATTTATGGAAATCGTGACATCACAATGAATTCTTAGTAACTTGATAACCCATGGCATGAGACGAGGATATATATATTAGGGATCTCCTGTACTTGGCGATCGCAATACTGGTATACCAGTATTGTACAACAAACAAACAAAAAAAGACAAACCGACAAACAACAGTACACAAAACACATCATAGAAAACCAAAGACTGAGCAACATAAACCCCACAGGCATAGGCACAAAAAAGGGGCTATTTTAAATGTTATGCTGTCGACGAACTGCAAAAATTGTGAAGGGAACAATAACATTGTAGATGTACATATTAAGATAAATTACATTATTCATGTATCGTAACCAATGTGGTTTTCTGTTGTTTACATGTTCACGGGAAATTAATTTTTAAAGAGAATGTGCTAAAAACTTTCCTTGTAAGTTCCGACCTTTTAATTTCATTATTCTATCCGACAAAACATACCTCATTTATTGAATAAAACATTCATTTTAATAGAAAATAATATATGAAAATAGTTACGACATATAATCAAAGAGAAAAACTACCACATCATTGAATAAATATGCTAGGAATATATACAATTTATTCGTGGTGTCACGTGGTCCATCAAAATGGCTGCCTCCAGTGGAAGTGTGGGATCGTCTCCTTCATCAGAAGGCTGGTCTAAATGGCAGATAGGATTGGCTGTTGGGGTTCCAGTAGTAGTTGTCGGTAGCTATTTACTGTACAAAAGAAGAAAAAATAAAAAATCTGGTAAAGAACAATCGCCAAATGGAGCCAAAAAGAAATCAAGCACCGGTGAAGATAAGCCGGTTCAAGATAAATTGGAATCACAAAATGATTTAGAAAAGGTACTTTGTTTAACTAAAGGTTTATTCAAATTATGACACTTGCATGTAACATGTTATATAAAGTGATTGTCATCACCCCTACTTTCATTTTCAACCTCGTATAACACATAAAAGTTTTGGGGGTAACATCATTAGTCCAGATAATCATGCCGTCTACTGTGGGTATTTTTCGATTTTGACTTTTTATACGTCCATTTACGGGACGTATTATGGTATACTGTTGTCCATCTGTCTGTCCCTCCGTCTGTCAGTCCATCGTCAACATGTCAGACATTAACTCAAAAACGCTTTAACCAATTTGCATAAAACTTTGGTGAATTGTTTATATCTATTGACGTGAGCTCCCTTTCGTTTTTTATAAATTTTATATTTTATGTTTTCCGAGTTATGGGGTTTTATTCATTAACATGATTGAAAAAAGGAGAAATTTCCAGTTTTCGGACAATAACTCAAGAATGCTTTCACCAACTTGCAAGAAATTGTGGTGAATTGTTTATATCTATTGACATGAGCTCCCTTTCGATTTTTATATGTATTTTAGATTTTACTTTTCCGAGTTACAGGGTTTTATTCATAAAAAAAGGGGGGATTTTCCAGTTTTCCGACAAAAAATCAAAAATGCTTTCAGCAGTTTTGTGAAACTTTGGTGAATTGTTTATATCTATTGATGTAAGCTCCCTTTAGAATTTTATAAATTTTACATTTTACATTTCTGAGATCATGGTTATGGGGTTTTATTCATTAAAAAAGGGGGGATTTTCCAGTTTTGGACAATAACTCAAAAATGATGTCAGAAATTCTCATGAAACTTTGGTGAATTGTTTATATCTATTGATGTAAGCTCCCTTTACATTTTCATAAATTTCTAACATGACATTGTGAATTAATTGAACTTTAATTGTTTAAAGTCTGACAACAGATTTACTAAGTATTGCGCAACAGCACAGTGTATTGCACAACAGCAAGAAATCTTTAATTGAATATAAATTCAATTCATATACCCAATTTCAAGTTCTTTGACTACATTTATTCAGAAACCTATAATATGTCAAATATTTAATACAATCCAAATTCAAACCTGTATCAAGCTTGAATATTGTGTCCATTTTTGTCCCAACTGTTCAGGGTTGGACCTCTGCGGGCGTATCCAGCTGCGCTTAGCGAAGCAGTTTTTATGCCCTCGCCGTAGCGGTGGGGGCATTAAGTTTTACCCTTGTCCGTCTACGTACGTCCATAAATTGGTTTCCGTTCTCTAACTTGAGTTTTCCTCAACCAAATGTTATGAAACTTATACACAATGCTTATTACCACAAAACACAGATCAAGTTTGAATTTTGGTGGCGTCACTTGAACTGTTCTAGAGTTATGCCTCTTTAAAAATGGAAAAATTGCAAAATTTTTATTTTCTAAATATCAAGTAATCTTTAAAATTGGAGTTATCTTCCTTTGTCCATGATTATAGTTGAATCAAATACAATCAATGCTTTAAACAATGCAATGTTTAATTTTGACTTCCACTGATAAAACACAGATCAAGTTGAATTTGGGTAGTGTCACTTTAACCATTATTGAGTTATGCCCCTTTATAAATTGAAAGATTGCAAAATTTGTAGTTTCCATTCTGTAACTTAAGTTTGCCCCAACCAAACATTATGAAACCTATACACAATATTCATTACCACAAAACTAAGATCAAGTACAAATTTTTTGTTTCTGTTTTCTAACTTTAGTTTGCCTCAACCAAATGTTATTACACAATGCTTATTACTACCTAATACAGATTATGTACGAAATTTGGTAGCGACACTTTTACCATTCTTGAGTTATGTCCCTTTATAAACATAAAAATTGCTGAATTTTTCATTTCCGTTCTCTAACTTTAGTTTTTCTCAACCGAATGTTATAAAACTTATACACAACCGTTCTAGAGTTATGCATGTTTACAAATAGAAAAATTGCTGAATTTTTAGTTTCTGTTCTCTACTTAAGTTAGCCTCAACCAAATGTTATGAGACTTACACACAATGCTTATTACCACAAAACTCGGATCAAGTTCAAATTTGGGTAGCGTCACTTTTACCGTTCTTCAGCTATGTCCCTTTATAACTATAGGATATGCAAGCGGGGGCATCATCTGTGTCCACATGTGGACACTATCCACATTTATTTTTATCCTAAATTGACGTCCTCAAAGCAAAATTTTTTAAATAGCCTTCCTAGACGTCATAATTATTTGGACTAGGGGTAACATCAAATTAGTTTTAACAGTTTAAGACATATGGTGACTATAAAGTAATTGTCATCAACCCTACTTTCATTTTCAACTTATATAACACCTGAAAATTTTCCGGCTGTGTTGAAGACCCATTGGTGGCCTTAGGCTCTTTGTCTTTGATACGTTCCCCATTTCCATTCTCAATTTTATTGACACTATTTTCTTCCCATTGTCCATATTTTATTATGATTGAAAGAACGACTAGTGCCTGTGATTCGCCCTTGGTTTGTTTTCCCTAATTATTATTTTCTTTTTGTTGTGTTGTATAATAGTGTTTAATTTGATAAAACAATTACAAATGAATTAACAGTCAGGGGACTTACTTAAATGAGTGATTTTCTAAATCACTGATTCAAGTAACATTATGTCCATAAAGGTTGGAAATAAGAGTTGTCTTTCTTTAATAATCACCTATTTAAGTAGTACAAATTAATCACTAGACTAAGTGATTTAATTTTATAGTAGCTTTAATATAGAATGCTAATGATCCAGGGACTAATTATGTTGCTAAAATTATCAGAACCAACATCTGTGTTGATAGGATGACCGGGTCATGTCAGGTGATGACCTTGTACTAAATCTAGGATAATGACATAAAAATCACTTGTTCATGTTGTTTAAGTATCATACCTCAATTTCCTTCCAAAAAATCACTTCTTTAAGTATCATTAGTTTAATAACCCCCACTAATTTCAACACCCCCGAACAGTTGATCGGGAACAGTAGAATTTTATTACATAATCTATAAGATGAAACCTTGAATTTTACAGGAAAAATACTCCCACTGCTGGGAAAAATCTGTTAAGAAAGTATCAGTTCATTATGTAAAGCCATTTTTATAGCATTTTTTCAACTAAAATAGAATTTGCAGCTAAATGCTTGCATCAAAGATATAAACCTTGCTGCTTAAAAGAAGCAGAAAGTTCATTTTTTTCAATTTTTCTAATGAAAAGATATTATCTAAACCAGGGCTTCCAAAATTATTTTTAGCCAGCCGGAAATTCTATATATTATCCCGATTTTAATCCCTTAAGACTAAATAAACAAAAGGCAATTATGGTAATCAGTTGCGGAGTTGGCCATCCCAATGATTGATATTTAAAAAAAACAATATTAAACTTTCTTTGATTCAAATTCGAAGTTCTGACGTAAACTGTTAAATTGGCAGTGCATCATCCGAAGTGTGCAACATCAGCGTATTTATATCTGCCTTAGACTCTTTATTTGTGCAAAATAACGTTGTCAAAAACTTTACTTTTGTTTTTAAATCTGAAACCGGATGTTATCTTGACAATGGTAAAACATGGACCAGAGACGGATACGTAAATTCCATGTACGTTTGCAAAGCATGAATGAGTGTAAGTAGCTCATTCTACATTATTTCTTCAAGAAAATATTCGAAATAAACGTGAGATAAAGGTATCAATGACAATTTAAGCATTTTTTTTAAGAAAGTAGGATGCATAATTAAATTTCACACCTGCGCACAGGCACATGCGCACACGTTTACTAGTTCAAACAGAGACATGTCTCTGGTTAAAACAACGTGGTTATGACGATTTTTCCTTTTCACCTCTTTAATTTTTTCATCAAATCTTATTTGTAAATGTATTTCTGATAATTTAAATCTTTTTGACTAAATTAATTAGATGCAAACCGGTGAAATGTAAGAAAATAACTTTGAATAGACCGATCAATGTCCGGTTCAAAATAGTTTACCTGTCACCTGAACAGGAAAATTTCAGCTGTTCGACAACTAATTAGCATTGATTAAAATGAGAAGGTATTAAAGTAGGGATTGTTTTGATAGTACTTAAAGGCAAAAGGTTGGGTCAAAAAGATCGCGAATTATGTTAAAATGACCGTCTCTTAAGAAAGCCTTGAAATCTAAAAAGTAGATGACCATTTCGTGCTTTGCCTAGCCGGACTTTTACCGGACATTATACAAATGTCCGGAATATATGACCGTTTTGGAAGCCTTGATCTAAACCATTGTAAACCTATGTGTTTAAAATTTTGGTAAAACTACAAAATCACAATTTGTGACAAAACTTCGAATTTACTACTTAAATAAGTGATTTAAAAATGATTAATCACTTATTTCAATAAGTCCCCTGACTGATTAAGGATCATGCTTTTAACATTAACATGTTTGGGAACATCACTAATCCAGAGAAGATCAGCTAGATATATGTAGGACTCTAAAGTGCGATGGGGACGCTAAAGTACGATGGTCACGCTAAAGTGAGATGGTCTGCGCTAAAGTGTGATGCCTCCATACGTTAAAGTCTGATGGTCCGGGAAAGTATAGACGTAAGAAATGTAGTTGGATTATGACGTAAACAGTCGTTTATACAAACCGAAAATGAACATGCCGGAAGATATTTGATTATCAACTTTTAAACCAAATGTCCATGACTTAATTTAAACTTAACTGTGCTTTGTCGGCTAAAGGAAATGTGTTTTTTTTATTTTCTGGTGCTGGAAGAAGGACTTGTGTCCTGCAGTTGACCATTTTACTATATAGATACAAAATAGTATACACATAGGTATCCTGTATCCTGCTTCTATTGGAAGTGAACGGATACATTAAATCATTGTTTACGTTGCAGTTTACTTTGCGGTCCTTGTTAAAATATTGTCGATTTTATTGAAAAGTAACGTTGGTAAAATAAGGGTACATGTTTTCAAGCATAAATTATAAATTATCAGCTAAAACATAGTT